AAGAAAAAATGTTGTTTTTGTGAATACAACACATGATTATATTGATTTTAAGCTTTTGTAGAGACGTTCGAAGCGATTTGATGGTATGCGAGGTATTTGTTGTTTGGCCGACCGCTACTTTGTTTTGAAGTGTGATTCATGTTCGTGTTTGGTGTTTTTCACGAGAACTGTGATTGTAATCTAGGATAACATGAATTCCAGAGCTGTCTTTATTCGTATTTGAAACAATAAGAGCATCTTAACAGCCTTTTTTACGTCGATAAAGAATTTTCAAAGCGATAACAATGAATTACACACTTTGCCGTCCGTGTTGAAGTCGTAATGCACACTTTGAAGTTTGTATAAAATCACTTAAACAGCATGGATGACTGCGCTACTCAGTTTGACATTGAAAAGCCAGTTAAGCGACAGTTCAAGTCACAAAAATTAACCGAAAACAAGGGCAGTTTTGACTCTAATTCTCGCCTACAGTGACTAAAAAGCACTATTTCCTTGTCTTTTTTTCCTACAAAATTCTAGATTTCAAGAAGCGAATGACTGTTGGTACACAATTTTAGTCCTACTTCTGTCATTTAAGCGTTTTATTTTTCACATTTTCCATAAAGATCTCATGCTACGGCTTTCTCTTTGGACACTGATTCAGAACACGTCTTTTAACCGGATTTTTGCACGCAATGAATTCTGGGAAAAATCTACACACGCCGTGAGCAACGATTCCGTCCAATCTGAAATAGAAATTTATATAAAGTCTACAGCCTTCTCGGAAATCTGCCAAAATTTCAAGTCGCTTTTGTTCCTCAATAGCCAAAACATCCAAAAATTACCGTGGCAGCTCCAAGGATTTGCCTTTAGACGGTCTTTTAAGTGATTCTCTTCAAGCGACTGTCCGAGTTAATCGAATGAACCGCGGAATCAAAATCGCTTAAAAAGTCACACACCAAGCTGGATTCTTTCAGCAAGTAAGCTCCTTCGCTACCTAAAAACTTAATGATGTCCGTAGAGTAGTGACTAAAGGCAAAAAGGCTGAGAAAACCGCGAAAAAACTCATTTCTCGACTTCTTGCAGCACAGCTTCGAACCAAAACAAACCGACAAACCAACTGTCAAAGTCATGAGTTTAGCGCGAATATGCAAATCTAGGATATTTTACGGTCTAGCGATCAGTTGTCAAGCCAAAGAAGTCGGTAACTATGGGTCCTTTTTTGCTCTTTTTGGAAAGAAATCAGGAGAAATAAGTACTAAATAAGGTTATTTAGACTTAAAATAAGCGATTGGAATGATGTTTTTTTAATTTTTCGAAAATTTCAAAAATACCCTAAATCGTCACTTACGCCGTTTTCGCATCCGCCCCTTCAATTGGGATTCCTTAGGGACCACTATTCGCTTGTTAGGTGCTTCTATCTGCTTGTTAGGGGCCTCTATATGCTTGTTAGTTAATACCATATATGGAATATGTATGACAACCCCTAATCGATTTATTTCTTGTGTTGAGTATATTAGCTTGTAGTTTTATAAGGGTTTTCTTTGTGTTTCCTTCAAGATTATGATGCACCTTTATCTGAGGCGGGAGACATGACTTACAAATACAAAGCTCTAAGAAAAGTAATGTTAAACGATGCTCCAGCTGACTCTGGTAATACAATCTTGGTAATTTTGTTTTGAAATAGTGAATGATATCTTTATTAACATTATCTTTGTTTTAGTTCCTGAGGACATGTTAAAGTTGAATCCCTCAGATTCTTTGAAAGTTACATATGGTAATAGTTTATTTCTAAACTTATAAATATATTTGTCTGAGTTGAGGGTGTTGATAAAAGTGATTAGTGGTCTTGGTAGTTGGTTATGTTTTTGTCATTCATCATCATGATTTTTTTACATAATTATTGATTTTTTTTACTGTGTTTATTTCAGATCCAGTAGAAATGCAAGATTACATAGATATTAAAACTTTATTAAAATATTCTGTAAGTCCAGGTTCACTACTTATTATCTTTGTTATATATTTATGAAAATAACAAAAATATACTAGAATATTGCATATTGTTTTATAGAAATCAGTTAATGTACAATATCCTGTACCAATGGAAGAGCTGCCTATTAATAACCATGGTGGACAGAGCTTTGGATACATTTTATACCAAACTAAAATACATCAAGATGCAAAGAAACTAAAAATTACCAGTTACAGAGACAGAGCTCAGGTGACAATAGGTCCTTGAACAATAGCTTTTTTAATTGTTAGTTACTTTCCAATCATTTATAACAATCGATCAGTCAGTAAACCTCATTTAATGAGTACAGCATTCATTGTTCATCTGTTTCATGCATCCATTCTGACATTTTTCCATTATTCCCATTCATTCCTTCAGTTCATTCCACATATGCTCAAGATATGAAGTGCTGTATTTATGAACCCTTACTGTTTTATTTTTAGGTATACTTTAATTCCCAAGAGCAACATATTCCAGAAGTGATGGATTTGGAGAAGAGATATATTGATGAAAGAAAAACTAAGAATGTAGAGATATCACTTAGTGCTGAAAAGGTTTGAATACCTAATGTAGAGTGCACGTCACATAAGCATGAAACAATTCTTAACTAATTAGCGCCTAATAAGATTTAGTTATCAACTAACTAAGAATTCACTGGGGCATGAACACAATGCCAGAAAGGAAACTTGTCTTTGTTTATGCCCCAGTGAATTCTTAGTTAGTTGATAACTAAATCTTATTAGGCGCTAATTAGTTAAGAATTGTTTCATGCTTATGTGACGTGCACTCTATAACATATAAATGAACAACAGCTTAGCAGCTAAGCTGCTAGATGTCACCTCTTTAATGTTTTTCAATCTCAATCCTCTAGACTGGAGACAAACAGGGATGGCTGGAAATACTGGTTGAAAATATGGGCAGAGTGAACTTTGGGTTAGATATAACAAATCAAAGAAAAGGTGTTTTTATTTATAAAAATTCACAACTATCTCTTATTTAGTTTACTAACCATTTCATATTTTTATAAATAGGTATTTTAGGGGAGGTTTTTGTTGATAACCAAAAGCACAAATCATGGATGGTTTACTCTCTGGACTTTAAGCCTGATTTCATGAATAGGTATTGTTTTATGTATAAAACCACCAGAAGCCTTACTGTGTAATACCAAGGATATTAAGATTTCTAATCAATATTTTGTGTTGTAGTTTAATTTATGATAAAAAGTGGAACCATGTTCCACATAACAAGCATCCAGGAGCAGGAATGTACAAAGGCTACTTTGAAGTAACAGGAAAACCAAAAGATACATATGTTCTTCTTAGTGGCTGGGGGAAAGGGGTTTGCTTTATTAATGGACATAATCTTGGCCGATATTGGAAAATAGGACCACAGCAAACACTATATCTACCAGCACCGTGGATAAAGACTGGAGTAAATAATGTAAGTATCTCACAGGGGTGGTGTAGGGAAGTCCTTTCTTAGTATATAGCGCTTTGCACTCAAATGAAGTATGGTAACACCATTCGAGGGACTGTAGGTACAAAATGATTATTTTGTGCTAATATTTTGTGTTTTCTGAATTGTTCAACTTGCCACACATATTTTGCAGTGTTTCACACTTTTATTATTGAAAGCATTCATTATATTTTACTGTAAGTGGTAATACTAAACTGGTGTCTTTGTTTAGGTTGTATTATTTGATCAAGAAGGGCCTTCATCTCCAGATGTAGAAATCACATTTGTCACTGAACCACAACTTGGTATAAAACTTCAAGATCGACATTGAAACTCTGTTTTTTACTTTATGGTTTTGAGATTGTTTTAGTACCCGGTAACATTAAAAGGCTTGATTGAATGAGGGTATAAAATGGAATGAAAGTGTAAATGAAAGAAAAACAACCTCAAACTATCAGGTAAAATGTATTTTCAATGAAGACTACCTACAATATATTGACATTATTCATGAGTCCAATCGTACATTTTAAGACAATTTTTTGTACAGAATTTTTAGCATTAAAGCATCCTCTGGAACCCAATCTTTTGTTGTTTGTTTCTCACAGAGTGACAAACTAAGGACAGATTAAGCCTGGGTTCTTGAGGATGAACACATTTTAAAACAATCAAAAGACAAAGAAATTAATTATACAATCATATTTATGATTACAAACACTAAATGTTTGCAACTAAAAAAAATGAAATAAAAATATGTAGACAGTTCAATTCCCAAATCTCTTGCAAATCAAAGCAATTCAGACTTTTTAAGTTTTGAGATTCTGTTTAAGTTGGTCACTTCTATTCTCCCCTACAACAGTGCTAACTAAACAATAGAATAAAAGTGGTATTAATGCTGCACAATTTTATTGTTTGTACTCTATATTGGCGGAAAATTGAAAGACCCAAGTAACAAGTAGTTCAACTTCAGTGACCTTGTCACTCAATCAATCTTCTTGTTAAATTACCAACATTCTCACAAGAATGTGCAAACAGAAAATAAAAGTGATTTTATTATTCATGTCTTAGTGTACTAAAGGTAGAGCTTAATTAAGTAAACTGATAAAAACCTTGTCTGTTGCTAAAGCCCCACTGCACCAAATTCATATGATTTTTATAAATCATCAGGAAAAGTCAGTCTACCCCACCTTTAAAAACACTGTAAAGAAGTGATTGCCTACAACCATTTTACTGTTTACATGATAACTGATGATTTTTCTAAACCCAAAATTATTTGTAAATAACCCTTGAATAAATTATCAATGTAATTTGCATGATATTTTTTAAGAAGTCTTTAAATTTATCAAAAGCTTTAGATACTATTAAATATAGATTTCAATGCTGAATTCATTATAAAGTGCATGACAATTTTTAAAAATTATCTAGGAAATTTCTCAGTTTTGATACCAATCACAAGAAACTAGTCCTTTCAGAAGAGATCATGCAGAGAATCTGTTGAGAAATTATCTATTTACATATAAAACTATCTGTTTCAATCTTTTCACTAAAAAAAGATGTTTTATTAACAGATTAAGTAGGTCTTCCATTGCCATTTTCCTCTGGTCTCAGCTTTTTGAGTGCATCTTGTCTCAATTTCTTGATAAGTCTTATTGGAAGGGATCCAGGTAATTCAAAACAGTTCTAAAATATCAAAGAAATATGATTTGGATATAATGCATCATACATAATATATAGTATAGACCTTTAAAAGTCTACAACAGTACAGTGATTTACAGTTACACAGGATACCCAACAATCTGGGTTGTGCTTATGAAAATGTATCTTAAAATAATATAGGTAAATTATAATGCTAGTGCCATTACTTTCACTTACAGTCATAAAAGAATGGCAGTCCATTGTTGAAGGTGTTTGCGTAATTCCCTATAAATGAAAGAACAAGAGGTCATCAATATTTATTTATTTATAGATGGGGTTCCTGTATAGGAGTTTAGAACACATATCCACACATCATGTGAATTTTACACTAAAGAAAAAATATCTTAGTTCACTTTGAATAGAAAAGAGGTAGGCTTACTTTCATAGCATTGCAGAGTTGTGGAAAATCTTTAGCAGCCAATAATTCGGATTCATGGAGTGCAAGTAATGTCAGTGACACTCTTAACAGTATTTTGGAACCTTCATAGAACAAGCAGTCCCAAATACGCAAAATAGTCTGAAAAATAAGGATAAATCAGTAGATGTAAGGCATTTCGAAAACTTACTTGATTCTTACCTCAATTGGCAAGACATCAATGAAGAGACAAATAAACCATTTGGTTGAGAATATGCTATAAGACAGACCAGCACTCTCAATATGAGCATGTAACTCAGGCATCTTTAACCTACAAGAACAAACAATCAAGACAGCTAAACAAAATGATGTATCTTTCATGCTAGCAAAGATACTAGGTATCTTGGAATGGTTTTTTTTTTTAATCAGGTGTTTGGAAATTTCTTAATAACTTCAAAGGTTTTATTTTATTTTATTTTTCTTGTGTAAAAATACAGTGGGAAGTGTTGAATAACAATTTTCCAAACCTCATGAGGTTACAGGAAGCCAATAATTACAGGTAAAATACAGGAATAACATGTAAATATTCTGTAATGATCAACTACATTGCATACTTGACTAATTCAGATAGCACTTCCTGTTCTACTTGTAGGCCAAGCATGTCTTTGGCATAATAATCTATGTCATAAGAATAAAAATAGAATCAGTAATCTACAATTATATAGAGTATATTCTAATTTGTTCTAATTTGCTATATAATACCTGGAATTCGTTTAGACAATAAAACATCCAGTAACCAAAATGCTGACTCCTCATCTTTGACAATCAATATGAGAAGACCAGTAATGTAGTTTAATCCCTGAAGAAAAAAATTACTTAATTAGGATTTTCTAAAACTTATAATATCAAGGCACCATTAACGTCTGGAACTATGCAGGACATAATATTGTTCCAAACACTTTTTTGGAAGGTCATGATTAATTTTTAAAGATAGGGCTGGTAAATATGTCCTTTCAAATTCCAGTTTGACAGACATGGACATTATTCTTTGACCTCCCCTTGCTCTGTAATATAGAGCAGAGTCACTTGAACCATGAAATAGAAACTAAATACTTAGTACCTAATAGGCACTATTTAGACACTATCACTGAACCAGAACAGTACAAAGACATTACTTTGATTGTTAAAGTGGTCCCTTGGGTATTGCTTATTGGATCAAATAAACTGTTCTGGTTCAGTGCTAACGGCTATTAGGAACTAATAGTCCGTATTAGTTAGTACTTTTTAGTTCTTATTCCATGGTTCATGTGACTCTGCTCTATAAAAGATTGGACTGCAGACAATTCTTTCTGCTAGAAATTATATTATATTCACAGCATTAAAATTATATTAATTAATAACATAAATTAAGATTATTGGTGCTGACCTGACAATAACCTATTCTTGAATTATGCAAGGCATACACATGAAGAACATTGTAAAGACTTTTGCGCAAGTCCTGTTGTGAAGGTCCAAAGTGAATGTTTTCTGGGAAGGTTCTGTCAATATCTGTCAAGAGGAGTGGATTTTTAGCTGTAAACTATTTATGGTTAGACATTCATTATGACATGATATGTAAAAATGAAATAAATAAATAAAAAGATAAGAAATAATTATTTGAAGTATTACCTGTTGTGATGCTGTGTTCAACAAGCTCATCTAAATCTGTTTTCAGCAATTCTTTGTAATAGTATGGGTTTCGTTTCTTTCTTTTTCTAGCACCACAAATGTCCATCCATACCTACATCACAACATTAAAATATCCCTTATGACCTGAATGAAATGGTGGTGATTTAATAGATAAAGAATGTGACTGTTATCATGTGAGCCAAAACACCCAACCTTAAACCACTGCAAAAAAAATATTATTCTGCATAATTGTTACAATGTCTATAAATACCTGGCCTCTTTGTTCTGCTGGGACTCCTTTTCTAACAAATCTTTTAGCTAAACCAAGCAAAACACAAACAATACAACTTTAGCCTGAGAAAAGCTGAATATCTACGAATATAGTACTTCTTTCAACTATATCATGCATCATGCATGTTTATATGTTTGAGTTTATGAACCAGTAAAAATCTATTATACTAGTAATTAAAAACAGTCACCATTACCTTTTCTTGACTTCTTTACTTTGGAAGTCCCTTTAATAAATTTTTTCCACCTGCTTGCTCTTCTGGCCAACACACGAAGGTAATTTGACATAAAATGTTCATAGCTTTCATAGTCAAAATCATCAGGTCTTTTGAAACCATATTCATCAACAGGACTGCAAAATATAAAAATAATCATTTGGTATTGATCATGAAATGTATATTAATAATAAATAATATTTATTATTATCATTATAATCTATATTATAATTCACGACCGCCTACTGCATTTAAATATGTGATCTTTGAGAAAAAACGAGCTACGTGATGAGTTTTAGATGTCGATACAAAACTGTGCGCGGTTAAGGAAATGATAACAAAGCAAGCATCAAGCAGGCAGAAGATGCTGTCAACATGAAAATCCCCCTGCTACAATCAATCGAATCGTACAAGGTGATTACTAAGAACTGTCAAATTTTAATAACCACTTGTATATATCGTATTTTACAGCTTAAAGCAATTTAAACTATGACTCAAACTGGGTTAAACAAAAGTTTTTACTTCCTGAAAACAGAGGAGATTTTGAATAACAACATATTATAAGTGCGTCAAAATTCAAGACGATGACATAAAACCTTAGGAAATTTATTGCTAATGGCTTCATTTACCTGCGAATGGTCGACATTTTGAAGAATCAGCCAATACTTTATAAATTTTATCAAGAAAATCGACATAACCTTGAACAACTCATCGTCTCTATCTGGTTTGACGGAAAGTTAATCATTCTTCTGGAATTATATCAAGCATTTTGATTGGTTTGTCTAAAATCATTATCTTTATGGGCCAATAAGAATACTGTTTATATCAGAATTCGCAAAGGATTTTGGTTTAGAATGGAGGCGATGTCTTGTAAAATATTATATCAAGTGATGACTATTATTGGTAAAATGCGCTAACGCAAAACTGGTATTTGAACGAGAAAAAGAAGAATTTCAATATTTACACACAGCCGACGGCAATGCAAAGTGATAGCGATTCAGAGGGTGAGTTTTTCGATGCCTCAGAGTCTCAAAACAATAGGTGAGTAAGGGCTACTGAACCTTTCGTCAAACTTTGACTTTCTTTGTTGGAATAAGTACTCCACATTCATTTGTTGAGTGCGAGTTATTACGAGGTCCTTTTAAATTCCTTATCAATAAAATGGTCATGAATAAAGCAGATTTTATGCAGGTTGACTGTCTCACGCTACTAAACTCGCCTTGTGGTTCTGAATATCATTTGAATCTGTCGTATTCTTATTTCAGCTTTGATGCAACCTCAAGTAAGCTTATCACTAAGCTTGGACATAAGGTATTTGAAACAATGACAATTATAAACTCAGAAAATGTTTCCTTTGTATTTTTTAATAATACCTTAAATGTTGAGGATCATATCTTTTGTTTTGAAATGAAAAGTGTAGTCGGACGAATTTCTTCTATCGTATTGCACATTTCTTGATAATATTTTAAGGATCCGTATAACATACTTTCGTCTGCCTGCGGCTCTCTTATTTTGAAATAACTGAATGAATGAAGTTCGTAAATTTGATCAACTATGTTTTATAGAAAATTGCAACTAGTAATTCGTATGCCTAAGTATTTTAGCGATTTGAGTTCTCCACCTGTCAAAATTAATAACAACAACATATCCTTGATAACAGATGAATCCTTGCTCAACTTCTCACTGTTTGAAGCAGATTTGAGGGAAAAATTATCATTTTGAAGGTCAAATACTTTCATCTTTTTAGCATCATGACCCTTGAAAGCTTTTGTAAACAAAAGGTTTAGCTATATTTCTTTAGAACACAGTACTATACGTTAATGGATGCATCTGTTTTATCTATATTTTGATTTCTTGACAACTGGTGTTTATCACTTTTTCAGTAAATTTTCCCTCACGAATTTTGATGTTTTCATTATATAAAATAAAGTCTTTTCAGTGTGTTTGTAATGATCAATGTTCTAATTGGCAACTTGGCAGCAAATCTCTCATTATGCAGGGTGTCATATATTTTTAATTAGACTGTGTATTTATAAACATACTGCTATTCCTTCACATTGGTGTAAAAAGCTACAAAACTCTACTAGATTCAAAACCAGTTTTAGGAAGATACTTGCATATGCAGTTTGCATATATTAACATTTCTGATGTGCCAGTATTGACTCTGGTATAACATTTTTAATTTATGTGAGCATTAGACATTTATTGCTTTTTTGGAAACATGCCCTGGCAGAGTCAGTATTTAATCAATATTAAAAAAATTATACTTTCTCCCTTTCCACAGAATGATGGAAAAAACAGTGAACACTGCCATGATAAAGAAATACGTAACAAGGAAAATAAAATTTTATCCCAAAAGAAGCCAACCACAGAAAGTATCAAAGATATTACAAAAGATAGCAATCAACTTCAAACACATACGATAGAAAATAAACAAGAAAATAATGAATCTTCAATACCAGAATCTTTGACATTAAATCCACCAGTTATTGAGACAAACAATATAGATAGACAGTGTACAAAAGTGAATAAATTAGAACTTGATCTCCAAGAGGAAACACATAAAAAGGACATTGTGGATGTAGTGAAGACAAGATCTTCTTCAACGCCATTATCCCCGGTCAGTGAGGTTTTGAAAAGTGTGGAGACAGGGGGAGTTGGTTTACTAGACAAAGGGGATGGGGGTGAAGCAGAAAGTCCTGCCCCTGTGGCTCCCCCAAGGAGAAAACGCAAGAAGAAACCAGAAGCAAAAGCTGCCATTGTAAAGAGTGTTGAGGATCTTAAGGTAATTATATTGGTCTTCTTTAAGTTTAAAGGTTTTTAACACTTTTCCCATTGCATGGTGACCTTGAAGCTTTAAAGTTTCTTTAGATTTTTGTCTTTTCTGGAGCTTAGGCTGTTTAATTCCTTGTGGCATGACACAGAATCGCTTCCAAAGCAAAAATATCATAATAAACTTTGAAGTAGCTTCATAGTAGCTTCTGCTCTATTTTTACATGTAAGATAAAGGTGTACATCATGTTTTGACAATTCATGGAGAAAACAACTCCTTTAGTCCACTAGAAATAGCATCATAGTTTAAGTAATTTGCATACATTCTGCCCTCAATTTACAGAAATAAACAAATTCCAAATGAACTTCAAAGTCACTTTGTAACAATTTCTGCTCTACTAAACAATAAACTGGTCAGATATCAGAAATGAAAGGAAAAAAGATTATGACTTACATGACTTCCAATTATTATTTTCATGTATTATTATAATTATATTATCATAATGAATAAATTGATATTTATATCTGTTTTTCTTTCATAGGATTCTGCAAGTATGGATAAACCTGATCCAACACCAGACAGCTCACAAACTTCACCAAATCAAACAGTTCCATTAAAGGTATGTGGTGGTGCATCAGAAAAGACATCAATACCAGCTGAACTAGGAGTACCAGAACAAGATGAACTAGGAGTATCAGAACAAGAAGATGACCCAGCAATAACTCTGGATTACAAGTCAACAGAAATGAAACAAGTATTGGAAAAAGCCAGTTCTACAGAGGTTATTCCAGCCTTTTCTTTAGATGCCCGTAGAAAGTCGAACTCAGTGACGTCTCTAGGTAGTAGTTGTAACAGATCTGATAGTTTCAGAAGTGTCTCTAGTGTAGTATCCAATGGTGCAACTCTTAACAAATCAGGATCATCAACATCAGTTACCAGTACTAATGCTATCCAACATCCTCCTGGAAACTATGGAAGCCTGGTGAGAGTTAGATCAGAATCAGGAAGACCTTTGTCAGATGCTGTAAGTATGATATTTGTAATATTTTGTTCTACTCCATATTCATTTGTTTTCTCATTTTATATGCAACTTCTATTATAAATAATTGTTATTATTAATTATGACTTTTACATGTTTCAGGAAATTCTAGAACAAGTGATCGTTAAGAATCTTGACACAGGAGAAAGTATTCCATTGAGTCTTGCTGAGGACAGGCTACCTAAAGGAACCAATCCTTTAGCTCTACATATCATGAGACTAACATCTGAATACTCAAGGTAAGGGATTGGGACTCATGTTCATATATAAAGTGTATTTATTCATTTTATTCTTCTCAAGCTTGTGAAATTTGTAATTCATAAATCAAATTTATGCCATAATTCTAACAAAATTGTCTTGTGTATTTGTAGTAGTAACTCTAAACTCAACACTATTGACCAGGAGGATGGCATTGATGTAGGAAATAAAGTGAAAAAGAAGACGTAAGTTTGTTAGGAGAAACTTATGGTAACAAAAGTCACATCTTATTCTGAGTGTTTTAATTTTGCAGGAAAAAACTAAAAAGCTTCCTGGGAAGAACAGTAAATAAAATGAAGTCAGACAAGAAAGTGAAAGAAGGTAGAGTACTGGCATAAAGTGACTTTGGTGAAATAGCTTGCAGTTTTCATAGCCAGTGACTGATTTATTTTTCTGTTACAGTTCAACGTGGAGATGAGAGCTCATCCAGTGATGATGACGAGTCCCCAAGTTCTCCTTTCATTAAGGTGTGTTCTTTGTTCAGTCTTGGGTTAAAGGTGTTCAAAATTCTATATTAATTTACTGTAATTAGTGCTACAAAGCAATAAAATATTTGAATTGTCCATAATTGATAACTTTTTTTATWTCATTAGATCAAATCAGCCCATGGAAAAGGACCTGAGGAATTTGAAAAACTAAAGCTACTGCAAGACCTGAGTGGTGAACATGTGGTAAGAGATTTATTACAATGTGGTACTTAGTACTGTACTTGATCCATGGTTAGTATCCAGTGAATATATTAACATAATTAACTTGCTATCTCATAGGGTGCTATATGGACAGTAAAATTTTCTGTTTGTGGAAGACTCATGGTAAGACGTTACAGCTGTTAATATTATCAGATAATTGATTGTACCTTTGTTTCTTTGCTGGATGTCCACCCTTACTAAAATGAATTTACTGTCTTATTCATTTCATTCAGTGTCAATGGTCATGTTTTTATTCACCTAAAATATTGAAATTGTTTATATGTTAAGGAAATTGGATCAGTATTGCAATATAAGCTGTTTTGTTAAGATATCACACTAATAAATTGGTATATTTTGTTGTCTAGGCAACAGCTGGTCAAGATCACATGGTGGTAAGTATGTTCCTTATATTGCAGTAGAAATATTGTACGTTTACATTAAAAGTAATAACTTGTGAATCGGTGATGTCAAAGACACTGAAATGTTGTTACCTTTCTGTTGTTTTATCTTTAAAAATATTATTGTGCAGAAAAGGTGTAAATAAGTATATTTTCATATGTTTTTTTGTTCAGAGAGTTTGGGTGCTAAAAGAAAATGAAGAATACTTTGAAGAAATGAGAAAAAAATACTCCAAAACAGGTACCCAACTAGATTTATGTAATAATTTTGTTCGTTCTCGTTATAAGACTATGTTATAATTATTGTTATTTATCAGGTGGACAGTCTACAAACCCTGATCCAGAGGTTGATCAAATTCTTGAACATGATGAACAGGAAGAATACAGTAGTGAAGATGAAGCAGAAAAGTCTGAAGAAGGCAAAGAAGAACTGGATGATGGTGCAAAAAAGGTACAAGATTCATACAGTGCACAAAATGATTGAATGAATGACTAAATACTAGATAAATCAATGGATGAATACATGGGTAATGAAAAAATGGATAAGGAAATCAATAAATTATAAATTGAAACAATTAAATGATCTGAAAGAATTGTATTGAATAAATGGAATAAATGAATGGATAATTGAATAAGTAAACCAGTTGTGTGTAACATTGTACATTATTATGTTTTGTATTTGGTAGGTTGTAGAAGAAGACAATGGTCCCTTCAAGAGAAAGCCTTTTTGTACTTATTATGGTCACACTGGAGATGTACTTGATTTGTCTTGGTCCAAGGTATACATAAAATGGTAGATTTGACATTTACAATTTGTTTTATTCTTGTTTATTTGTTCTTCTAGAATTACTTCCTTCTGTCTTCATCCATGGATAAAACTGTCAGACTTTGGCACATTTCAAGGACTGAGTGTTTATGTTGTTTTCAACACATTGACTTTGTTACCGCCATTGTTTTCCACCCTAGGGTGAGTATTTGTATGATTATTAGTTTAGATTGTGTAATGAGTATTCAATTTCCTTGTTTCTCTCTCATCAGGATGACCGATACTTCCTTAGTGGTTCTCTTGATGGTAAGATACGTCTTTGGAACATCCCTGACAAGAAGGTGGCTCTTTGGAATGAGGTTGAAGGCACAGGTATTTTTTCTACAAATTTATCTCAACCAGCGTTAGAATAGAAAGCCAAAGAGTATTAAAAACCTCTACCACATAAATAAGATTAATTTTCCTGGTTTATGAAAGCATCTCATCTATAGTCAGTGTAATATTGTAATATCCTGTTTTCTCTTCAGGCAGCAATCTTATCACGGCAGCCAATTTCTGTCTGCAAGGAAGGTTTGCTGTTGTTGGTACCTATGATGGTAGATGTATTTTCTATGAAACTGAGGTGAGAATGTTTGCAAAGCTACTACAACAAGTGCTTACAGCCTGTCATTGCTAAATCATGCTGTCATATTTACATAGTGATGTTGTTTTATGAAATATTAGCTGAAGTGCAGATATAATGTATATGAATGGCATTAATTTCATCACAGCGTCTCAAGTACCACACACAATGGCAAGTCTCCCCAACTCGTAATAAAAGATCTCGTGGTAGGAAAATAAGTGGTATTGAACCTATGCCTGGTGAAGAAAAGGTGAGTAATGGCTACAAGAAGATGCATAAGGTTGATAAATTTGTGGAAGATCAAGGTTCAAATTTCTTGCCCCTCCCTCCCCTGGTATTGTAAGCAATCCATGATATTGTTAAGCAAGACTTGGTTCTCATTATAGGTGCTTGTAACATCAAATGATTCTCGTATTCGTCTTTACGACCTGAAAGATAACTCACTGTCATGCAAGTACAAGGGCTGTACCAACTCAAGTAGCCAAATTAAGGCCAGTTTTAGGTAATGTTAGTTTGTCATCATGTTTATTTTTTGTATAAATTAAAGTATCATTGTTGTGTTTAGTCATGATGGTCAGTATCTGATATGTGGATCTGAAGATCATTTTGCTTATATATGGAGAACTCAACATGGAATACCATCTGCTAGACGAGATAAAAATGAATTTTATGAAAGCTTTTCAGGTAAAGCAGTCAACATTTTTTTAGTGTTGTCATTAATTACTTCCATTTTTTATCCATCTAATACTGTAATGTCCTGTTTCAGCACACACTGCTGTAGTTACAGTTGCTACATTCACCCCAGTTCCCTGGCTCATTGTGGCTCCAGATACCAGTGGCAAGCCTGTTACATCAGAAGTGCTGGTCACTGCTGATTGGACAGGAGCCATTAAATTATTCGTTAACAGATGACACAAAAGATTCTGGGAATGAAATATTTCATTAGTTTAATATTAGCAACAAATGTATAATGAGAATAATGTGGGTCTAATCAAGGGTTTAACGATTGCAAATTTAGTTAAATGCATAATTTTGTATTATAATTTGAATTGACAGAGTGTGTGTAATATAGATATATGAATAATAATCCACTTGAGCCTTCGAATGTGATGTCATAAAATCATTTCTTATTATCATATACCTTTTGTTTGAGTTACAGAAATTCTGTAAGTTTCACTTATCAATACTGAAAAGTAATTGCATATAAATATTATTGATGTACATCTGACCTTAACCAAGCGGACAAGGAGATATTATCCTATTCACATGCACAAAACATGGTTTTAGATTGTATCAGTGTGTTATGCCATGTGGTAACTAGAATGCACTGGGTTGGGTATGTATTGCCTTGAACAGCTTTACCATTTCCCTTCCAATGCAGCACTGACTGACCTGTCAGTGTCAGGTCAGACCTCTGTGAGGCCAAGGTGCTTCAAGAAAGGTTTGGATAAAGTTGAATCAAGTGGTTTCCAGTGACAAACTGCAAGTCAGTGATCTGGACACAAGTTCTAGGCAATGCCATACCACATAACTTATTGATGGATGTATTAATGATTTTTCAGTTAACCACAAAATAATTACCAATGAATCTATTGTTTTCTTTCATTTATCATCAAGTACAAAATATCAATAATATAGTTTTTTCTTGCAAACCATGGAGTATCACTATGTGTTCTCTTTGTTGTAAGAAGTATAGCATTGTTTACATTATAAAGTATACTGCAAGTGTGAACAATAATATTAAAGTGATAAACACTTTATAGACAGAAAATAATGATTATAGCTACTGAATGCAGAGGAAGCATTTTGACATGTCAAACATGGTGACCTTTGTGTGATAAAATGTGTGTGTTCAGATGTACTGTAAAAGTGTTCAAAAAGTGTTGAATATAATGTGATATAATGCTTGAATAATGTGAAATCTGAATATTAATAAAATAATGCAAATTGACAATTCCATTGTTTGCTTTTGACGATTGAACAGGAAAAAGGTGTATTCAAGAACATTAACTAGCTTTCTTGCACACCATATCTGTGTGTATCATCAGGGCACTCTTATGTGTGAATGCTTGATTACATGTGATACACTGAAATGGTTTCTTGCCGGTGTGTGCTATCTTATGACTTGTCAAACTTCTTTCAAATATAAACACTTTACTGCATAATTCGCATTGAAATTGTTTCTTTCCATTGTGAAGGTGTTGGTGCCTTTGCAAACCTTTGCTTGTGATGAAAGATGCTCTGCACTTTAAACATGTAAACAACCTTTCTTTGTTGTCTCTTATGAAATCCTTTTTTGATGCAGTTTTCTCATTCAAAGTGGATTTGATTTCTGTTGGATGTGCTCGTTTATGATGTTCCTTTAATATCCATTTTATTGAAAAAGCCTTCTCACACAAATTGCATTTGAATGGTTTGTCTCCGGTGTGTGTTAACTTATGATTGGTCAACTTATCCTTTCTTATAAAGCCTTTATTACATACTTCGCATTTGAATGGCCGTTCACCAGTGTGAAGTTTTACATGATTTGTTAATCGTAACTTGACGGCAAAGGCTTTCCCACATGTGTCACATTTAAATGGTTTCTCTCCAGTGTGAATTCTTCTATGAACTTTTAAGTGATCCTTTCGTACAAAACCTTTTTCACACACTTCACATTTAAATGGACGCTCTCCATTGTTCAGGTCAAGATTTGTTAATTGTGTCTTCACAGCAAACTCATCTAAATTGGTGTTGCATTCCTTATCATGAATTGTTTTATGTTCTTCTAAGGTATTCTTTTGCATGAAACCTCTTCCACACACTTCACATTTAAATGGCAGTTCTTCTTCATGAATTCTCATGTGATAATTCAATCGATCCTTTACTACAAAAGCTTTCCCACAAGTTGAGCATCTAAATGGTTTCTCTCCAGTGTGAATTTTTCTATGCACTTGTAACTTTTCCTTTAGTACAAAACCCTTATCACAAATGTCACATTTAAATGGCCGTTCACCAGTGTGAAGTTTTATGTGATTTGTTAATCGTATTTTGACTGCAAAAGCTTTTCCACAAGTTGAGCATTCAAATGGTTTTTCCCCAGTGTGAATTCTCCTATGAACTTCTAATTTACCTTTTTGTAAGAATCCTTTTTCACAGACTTCGCATTTGAATGGTCGTACATCACTATGAATTTTCATGTGATGATTTAATCGTGACTTGATTACAAAAGCTTTCTCACAGATATGACACTGAAATGGCTTCTCACCACTGTGGAGTTTTTTATGTTTTGTAACTTTATTCTTTTCTGCAAATGTTTTCCCACAAACATCACATTGGAATGGCCTCTCTCCGGTGTGTATTCTATGATGCACTTTTAATGTACTGGTACGTGTAAAACCTTTTCCACAAATTTCACAGGAAAATGGTTTTTCTCCTGAGTGAGTAAGATAATGGTTTTTCAAATCCTTTTTTAAGCCAAATGCTCTATCACAGGTTGAACACTTGAAAGGTTTATATCCATCGTGTACCACCATATTATGTTTGGACAGGGCACTACTTTGGGTAAATCCTTGGTTGCATATTTTGCATTTGAAAGGCTTTTCTTCAAGATGAGTAAATGTATGCACCTTTAATGATTTTTTTCTTGAAAATGATTTCTTACATATTTGACATTCGAACTGTTTCTCACTGCTGTGCATTGTTTTATGGAGAGCCACATAACTCTTGACTCTGAAGCGCTTATCACAAATGTTGCACTTAAAAGGCTTCTCACCTGTGTGTATCCGACAATGATCTGATAAATGATTTCTATCTGCAAAACTTTTCTGGCATGTTTCACATTTGAATGGTTTCTTGTTATTATGGACTAGCTCATGATGTTCCTTGAAAGACTTAATGTGAAGAAATGATTCACTACAAAGTTCACATGTTAATGCCTTCTTGTGTGTTTGTTGGTGCCTTTCCAATACAAACTTTGTCATGAATCCTCTTTCACAAAGACCACATTTGAATTTCTTTTCTTCTTCATGTGTCTTGACATGATAAGTTAAAGAGGATTTTTGAGCAAAAGATTTTCCACATTTTTTACAATGGAATGGTCTTTCACCACTGTGAATTTGGCAATGCCTTTTCATGTCGTGCTTTCTCGAAAAACCTCTTTTGCAAACTGAGCATTGGAATGGTTTCTCTGCACTGTGAATTCTATAATGAGCTTCCAATTGACTCTGACAAATAAAGGTTTTATGGCAATATGGACATTCAAAAAATTCATCTTGATTGTGTATTGCTTCATTCCCTGCACAGTTTACTGGGACATCTCCTGGCATCTCAAGGGACAGGATTCTATTATTAGATGTTGATGCTGTGTTTTGGTCATTGCTCATGGTTGATTGACAGTTTTGAGCTGACTGTTGAGCAGATTCATTTAAAAGATGCATTGTTTGATCATGAACTGCCAAGTCATATTCACAATCAAACCATGTGTTGCACTTTATACAAACTATACAGCCAAAGTTCACCGAGTCACTACAATCTAATAACTGAGGGACACTGCTATCATCGCCTTCTGTGTTACCATTGACTTGTTGGATGCTCTCTGTATTATCCTTACAGCTCATTTTATATGAGTCACTGCTCAGGAAACTGTTCTGATTGCATACAGAGGTATTTTCTATTTTGATTGATTGCTGTGTTGTTGAGCACACACCAACCACAATATGCTGGTTAACATCATTACAAGACATTTCTGTTTTGACGCATGAACTGTTTATAGAATCCATAGATGAAATAGTTGAAATGTATTGATCTGTAACACATAAACAAATCGTCATCAGAATATATTGCAATGCAGAAGTCTATATTCATTTTATGTTCCTATCTTACTTTAAGTGCCTATGGAAGAGACTGAGAGGATAATTTCCACGTGTACGAAATTCCGCCAAAGTTGTTGGGTAGGTATGGGTTGCTGAATAATATTCCTTCTCTCCCCAGACCTCACATGAAGACACAGGAAGCCCATTGTGATTGTCAAACTCCCAAGATCCTTTGAACGCAATCGCTTCGTTTTGTACTTTGATGGCTGACTCTGAGGACGATCGTATAAATAAGGTATGTATACCTAAAATACTCTTATATTCGCTTTCGCATAGGCCTAATGTTTAGTATGCATTATAGCTCTATTTCTATTATTTTTTGACGATTTTAATGTCACATTTGAGCGCCGAATTATATAAAAAATCTCTAAAATCGAGTGTCAATTTTCCTTGGATACCAATCACTAAGTCTGCTTACATGCGTTTCTAAGATAATTTTCTTTGTAAAAACAGTTTGTAGACGATGAAATATCGTACTTTTAGTTACTGTAAGTCTTTTCTTTACAGTCCAATCTTGTAGTCAACCAACATTATGACGAAACTGTCGAAGTAAACGACGACGAAGAAGTAGCAAGCACTTTTACACCGAGCCCAAGACCTGGAGGGAGCCGAGCAAACGCTCCAGGTAATACAATTTTGCTTTTGTATAAAAGAACTAGATAACCATAACTTACTTTCGTTGTTTCATTTTTTGTAGGCCGCTTATCCATGTCTATGACTGACCAAAGTGGAGATGAATTTGATCATGATGACCTTGTGGAGAAGAAGGTAAAACGAAAATTCCTTCTTTTATATTTGGGAAATATTTATTATTTGTTTATTCATGCCGAGCAGCCCTACAGCTTTTGTAAGGGATTACTCCTCATCAGTTTGATAAGGAAATTGTCTTATGGTATTCTAGGAACCAGCAGGTTATGTTCCAGTTAACAACAGTGGCAATGATCAACCACAAATGAATCAATCTAAGCCAAGACAGAGATTAGGAAATGATGATGATGATGATGATGATGATGGAGATCAAAGTGACAGTTCAGATGATGATGATGATGACGATGATAACCATGGCCCTGCTGTAGAAGGGTAAGGCACTAGAGAAAGTCAAGTATACTGGATAATTAAAAACAGCTGCACAGTATGTATATATGAACAAACATCATCAAATTACACATTTATGATTGATTTATACTAGTGCATATGATCCATCGGACTATGAACACCTTCCAGTAAGCCAAGAAATCAAGGAGTTGTTTGAGTATATAACTAGATACACACCTCAAACTATTGACCTGGAACACAAACTGAAGCCATTCATTCCAGATTTCATCCCTGCTGTTGGTGACATTGATGCTTTCTTGAAGGTATGCCATCAACTTACAGTCAGTCATTGTCAAAGATTAAAAATATTTCTCATCCATTAGATGATTTACTGATTGTTTAAGGTTGATATCATATTCATTTAATACAGCACTTGAACTCTGATTCTAATACTGTCTTATAAAAATATCATCCCAGGTAACACGTCCTGATGGTAAACCAGAAACTCTTGGTTTACTTGTCCTGGATGAGCCTACAGCAAAACAGTCTGACCCTACAGGTGAGATGAACCACCCTTTGTGAGGAGTTGATCATACCATACATAGATAAAACCTCTGATTAGCTGTTCTTGTTATATTTAGTTCTTGACCTTCAACTAAGAACAATATCAAAGCAAACTAACTTGAAAGCCATGGTATGTACATGTTTAGTATTTTCATGTACATTGTAATAGACGTCATGTACATTTGTGATTATTTCGCTATTCAGTCATGTAGGTGTGGTATGATCGTCCAGGTGTGAGACTGTTATAGTTACCTGATGTTTTGACATCCTGCATGGAAGTCATTTTCAGAGTGAGAAAGCCAACAGACCGAGACAATATAAATATGTTAGGGTTTGTTTATAGTTGGAAGCGCATGGACATTAATCATTGTTTTGACCATTGGAGGTTGGTCGGGTATTCCTTTGCATGGGTTTCAAATTGTTAATTAATCATGACTACAATTGTATCTATATATTAAACAGTGTTATCTGTCTATCAACTAGCAGCTATACCGTACATGTAAAACATACTATATGTGTATAACATGACAATGTGTTTTTAGACTGTTAGAAGTATTGAAGATGTAGACAAGAATCCAAAAGCTATTGACACTTGGATTGATAGCATAAGGTACCTTCTTCCACCTGTCATTCAGTTTTCCAATTTTTTTGCTAAAATTTAAATCTATTTATATTTTTATGATCAGAGAACTTCACTTACAGAAACCTGCACCAACTGTCCACTACCAAAGGTTGGTTATTGAGTGTGAATCCCTGTCCATTTCATGATTGTGGTTTTCTATTCAATACTTTTTTTAAATAATTACAGAAACATGCCTGACATTGAAGAGCTAATGCAAGAATGGCCACCAGAATTTGAAGATCTTTTAAACACTGTTGGTCTTCCCACAGCAGAGCTGGATGTAGATTTAGCTCAGTATGTGGATCTTATTTGTGGTATGTATTTGTCTCATCTATCTTATTGTCCATGCTTTCAAGGTGGAGTAGTTTGAACAAATACTATGTAAATGGCTAGAGTATAGAATTTTAAGGCTAATTTCTATTGCAGGTATTCTTGATATTCCTGTCCATAAAAACAGAATACATTCACTGCATGTTCTCTTCACGCTGTTTTCAGAGTTCAAAAACTCTCAGGTGAGAGGAAAATCTATGAGAATATGTCTCAAGATTGTATTCATAAAGTGTTTGCTGTTTTTCCCTCTAGCATTTCCACCAGCTTGCAAAAGACAACCAGTTATCAAATGATCTGAAGCAACCGTCTAAAGATGACATAACTGCAGCAACTGACCAACTGTCATTAAATGAACCTGCTGACACATTGACCTTTGATTAAACACAGCAACTTTAATATTTATTACTCATTTACAAAAACATGTAAATATTGATACTTTTCACACATGAATAAGACAATAACCATAGTGTATTGAATTATTTGATTGGATTCATTGATAAAAATCACAAGTAAAGAATCCTATCAAATATTCAAGTTGATATTAGCATTATTTTCAAAACTAGAGGGACTGAAAGTGGCTTGTTGTAGCATGCATTTAATTGTACATATCTCCCTCTATTAACTATGATTCAACTGTATGAAGGACAGGATTACTTAAAAAATGTCATTGAAATAAAACAACAAAACATTTAGTCTTCTCATTTTTCATGATTTCAGGATGTATTTTACTTCATTGTAGTATTTGATTGGTATTCTTTTTAGTGGTTTTGCTATCTTGGAAGGGTTTTGTCATGGGTATTTACAATAGTAATGCAAAGTGATATTCATTCTATGAAAATAGAAATTTAAGTTTAGATCATTTTATATTTCTAAAGGGTTAAGTCCAAATTCCAGTAAAAGTTGCTTGTTTTTCTCTTGCACCTCCATTGCTTGACTCTGCCATTTCCCTCGTGCTTCCTCTACTCTTAATGACAACTTGTCAAATGCATCCTGAAAACAAAGACGACATGGTTGGTGTTGATATATGAAGGCTGCATAGTTGTTACAGTCTAATTACTAAATAAAAAACACTGGCGGATCCAGCACTAGTTCACCAATTTGCATCACAAAACAAATTTGTGAAAATGAATCATTTGTTTTATGATGCAAATTAGTGAACTAGTGCTGGATCCGCTAGTGAAAAAAGATGGCTTACATGCAGAATGCTTTCGTAAACTGACTCCATGTGTTCAATTTTAAACTTTAATTCAGCTATTGTCTGGTCTTTTTCTTTTTTCATGTCTTCAAATTCCTTTTTTGTTTTGCGCAGTTCTTCTTCTGACTTGGCTACAAAAAGTAAAAATAATAAATTAATATTGAGTAACCTCACTAGGTCCCACAGGGTCTTCTCTTGGAAACAGAAGGATCTCTTTGACCATTGGAATGAAGAACATTCTGAAGATTCCCAACATACAGTTAGTACTATTTACCTAGATTATCTCTTAGTTTTGTGACAGTCTGTTCCAACATGTGAATTCTAAGAGCCATTTCTGATTGCATGGTTTTGTATTGCCTTGTCAGATCTGTAAGTATAGAATATTGCATTTCAACTCGATGTATTCGGGATTCCTGTGTCTCTAAATGCAAATTGTAACATTCACTATTTTTCCCAAACCTGATGAAATATCCAACTTATTTTGCTGCTCTGTTTCAACAGCTTCCTTAGCTTCAAGCATTCTATCTTTCATTCTGGAAGCTGTGTCTTTAGCACGTCGAGTGATCTCGGTCCTTGACGCTGAAATTATCAGACATCATTGTTTGTTCATCATAATATTTTCTCGATTCTTGGAGTGTGGTATACTGCTATGAGATTGTTGTACGTAGCTATAAGGATCCTTCAAAATATAATCTTACCAAGTTCATCGCGCAAACATTCAATTTCTTGTAAAGTTCTTTTGTATTTGTCTTCGACGGTGAGTTCGGTCTTCTCTAGAAGAAAATAAAATTGTCACGTTACTGCATTGAAAAACCTTTTTGCGCGATTCAAATGTTGAGATTAGACTTTTAAGTATTACCATCCTTCTTCTTTTTCTTCTTTCCTTTTCCTTTCTTCTTTTTTGGAGGCATTTCGCTGCAAGTTTGTTTTATACACTAACGCGGCCCTTGTGTTGTCATGCAAACTTGCGAGAAAAAACACAGGGTAACCGTCACCACTAGTTTGTTTTACTTTAGTATCACATTAAGAATATCAAAAATTAAAATGCATACTTGGAATAACGTCTCATTCTGCTTTTTTTTAAACTGGAAAATTATTAAGTATATCTTTGTTCTAAGTTGTTGTTTTTGATGTTATATATTATACCTGATGGGAATCCTGTGTATACCGGTTTTTTCAGTGCATGCGCATTTGTATTTTCCTCTCAATCCAAGATGGCGTCGTTACGTGTTCTTGTAGGATGTAAACGTGTCATTGACTATGCCGTCAAAGTAAGCTAATTATTTAAAGATTTGGCAATTTTTTTTATATGTTGAAGAATCATCAGATATACTGACAGAATTTTGTGTTGCAGATACGCGTTAAACCCGACAAAACTGGTGTTGTGACTGATGGAGTCAAGCATAGTATGAATCCCTTTGACGAAATTGCTGTGGAAGAGGTTGGTAGAAATACAGTATTTTGAATTTAATTGGTGATTTACAATTATGAGCAGCTACATAGAGGTATTGTCGTGTGATTAATGTATTTGCAATAAGAATAAGCTCGTGAATATATAAATATTTTAAGTTAAGGATAACTTCTTATAAGCTTATTGAAATAACACGATGTCAAAGGTCAGACACGACAAACTGGTTTATCTTTCTCAATCAGGTTTGTAAATTCTTGATTTTATAGGCGGTTAGATTGAAAGAAAAGAAATTAGCATCTGAAATTATTGCTGTCAGCTGTGGACCTGCAAAGAGTGAGGTATGAAAATGTCAATGATGTCATAAATGCTTTTTCTAGAATTCATTAATAATTCATGAGCTATTAGTCCAATGAGCATCAAACTATTGGGTCACATGACGGGCTTTCCCGATAAAGTACTGAGTAAAGTACTATATCAGATATATAGAACTGATGCTTTATTAATCAGTTCTATATCAGATGTCAGCGCTTTATCGTAACCCAACACTTGCAAAGGTCTCATCATAGACTTTTGCTAGGTTTTAAATCAGTTTCAATCAATGTGCAGACATGCACTATAGCATAGACTAGCCGTTCTTACGTGTGGGATCAAAATTCTTTCAATTGTGGCACAATGCACATGCTCATTAGAAGTTTAATATGCATTATCTTTGTTTTCGCACTTTTTAGCTTTTTTCTAAAATGATAACAATTTCTGAATGTTGGTCTAGAAGTCGCTTATAGAACAAGAGTGCATGTTTTTTATCGCCTGTGGCTCGAATCTATATATCCCGATAAAACACGCACTCTCGTTCTATAAACAACACATACTGTTCAGAAATTGTCACTGGGGGAGGGGTGGATCATAAAAAGAAACAAAAACGATTTCAGGCTTAAATTATACTAACTACATGTAAGCTCATTTACTTTTGCTTTTCCCACTGAAATGTGAATCCTGCATCCAGTGATGCACAAGCTTTATTATCTTTATATTAGGCCTGGTATATATGCCAAGCCAGCATTGAGCTGAATGAGTTTGAATTTTTATACATTTTCATAACCAGATCCTTCCCAGTTTCCAAACGAAAAATCGAAGACTCTGTTTGGAAACAAATGTTTCTTCTATTTGATTGGTCCAAAAATTCTGATTTATCCTTATCATATGACTCAAATTCAGGGACTTCCAGTATCGTCTCAACCAGAACTGGGTCTTCTGGTATCATCTCCAAACAGTGACTTTTATTTTCCATTGAGAAACTAAGAAGGATCTGGGTACAAGGATAGGAATCGTGCCATACCAAATGTATTTGAGTCAACACAAATCAGCCATTTGGTTCAGGGTGATGATAACACGATGCATGAAACTGGCATTAATTAAATGCTATGTTCTTGATGAAAATATTTGATGTCATAGACAATTTTTAGGGTTCAAATTTGTGTGATATATTCCACACCCTTTTCCTGATCTGTAACTTATTTGCTTTTACTTTTCTGTTTTTTTTTCTTAACATTCATTCATTTATTCTGCAACAATTGACTGGACTATAATGACTTTCAATGTATTTGATAATTATTCTAATTACTAGAGCACTGTTTGTATAGCTGTTCTTAATTTAGACCAAATTTTACCACTGTTTACTTGCATAGTACTCAGTTTTGTCAAGTTTATGTGATAAGACTTTCATCTAATTTATTATCCAGAGGAGATCAGTAATAAGAAGTAATAAGATTAATACTTATAAAGCATTTTATTTCATGCTTGACATATAAGATGCCTTAATACACTTCAAAAATTTATGTCCCTTGTTATATTTATTATATAAAATTCCTTTTGTTAACTGACACATTAAATTGCTAAAATCTTAAACAATTCTGTTTCCAATGTATTTAAAGATTTCATCCAGCAATAACTTTGACATTGCTAGCCTTGCATTCTGGTTTCCCTATGCAAAGATAAGGAGGTACCAAATTGACATTGTGAAGTATACCAACCCAATTCTGTTGGATTTGCTGAGTAACTGCTGGGTCTTTGGGATTTCCTTTGTAGTAAAACATTGAGTCTTTCATCAACTTTTTAGAATTTGATTTCACTGAAAGATGAATATAAGTAATGATTACTCCAAGGCATGAATTAACTAAATTCCCCTGTTGAGTATGTTAGTGATTTGGACATAAGATGCTCTTTTCTGTATATTACCTGTGCAATTAGGCCAGCGTGTACGTCCACCAAACAGGTTCACCCAATGTCCATATGGGCATGTGTACGCATGAGCAGGTTTATATTCAAAGTCATACTTTTCATTGCAAGAAACTGTGCAGACTTTAAGGCTGGCGCTGAGATCATTACAAGCCAGTGCTCCATTTATTGGTGGAGGAAACATTTTGCATTTTGGTGCTGATTAGAAAGTATTCAACATAATCATAATTTATTAACATTGTCCTCTCTCATGTTTTCTGGATCTTTTATTGTGCTCTTTCTGCATCCATATCTTTTGGTTGCAATGTCAAAGAAATAAATCACAAAATTAAAACATACTTACATGTCAAGGTGACTTTGATAGAGCAAGATGCTGTGTTAAGGGATTGGTCTTGAGCTGTACATGTTATTGTGTATTGTCCTGGATTGGATGTCATGGCTCCACTTTGTCTACTGCAATACACAGATGGTGGTAGTCCATCATTGTCTTCAGGAACCTCAAGCCTTCCATAGTTCACCCTCAATTGTGATTTATCAGAAACGATATTTACATCTGGTGGGCATGTTATTTTTGGTGGTGCAACATCTAGAATATGTATTGAAATAGTCCAGAATACTAAAGATTAGTTTGTTGTTATCTTATAGTAGAGGTGCGTGTGTGAGTCTCCTTGAATACTGAACTGCACTAATTATTGTTTTCTTTGAACATACAGTCAGCATTTTATGTTATCTAGGAGCAAAACCATATTTGAGAGTTTCTGTTAGAATAATAATTATCTTATGATTATTCAACAAGATATTTTGAACTAGCAAAATCGCCTACATGGCATTATGGTATAAGTCTTTTAACAGACCTACTTGTTCCTTGTCTCACTGTGAAAATCAATTTCAATATCACTCTTTGCAAATGGAGTATAATAGTTGTCACATCAGGCTCATTCTTTATTATTTATTGTAAATTTCTGATGTACCATGCCTTTGATATCTATTAGGGGGTGGTGGCAAAATAAGAAAATATGGTATGTTAATTATTGGAACTATTTTAACACCTTTAACGTCAATAGAAAAGAAGCAATGGGCATAGTTTCCAGCAGCATCTTTAGCTTCACATCCAACTATATCATGGCTAGGAACACGCATTGATGTACCATTTTTAGGTGAACATGAGATTGTTGGTGTTACACCTGAATTATCTGTTGCTATTACTTTCCAAGACACTATCTCAGACCTTCCTTTTGAGTTGATCAGAATATCATCAGGACACTGGACCTTTGGTTGTTCATAGTCTGGAACACTAGCTATCAAAATAAACATGACTTTTTATTGTACTACATGCATTTCAGTCACTTAACAATATTTAACTTGATTTAATGGTTGCAAAGTAATTGCATAATTAAGTTTCTTATCATCTTAGAAGGTTTTTTTGATTATTAGGAGTAATAAATAATCAAAAGTTAGGTACTAAACACTGTGCTTGTTCAATTTTATTTTCATACCTTGGCCAAGTGTTGACTGATTCACAAAAGTAATAAAGCAGATTAGCACCACAATTAACATCATGACGTTAGTTGTAGAAATAATTTTAGTTCTAGAAATGAATGATCAAGGTTAGGTTTGTAATGCCATTTTTCAGCATTGGTGTATTTAGCTGCAGTTCAAGGTGTTAAATCAGTTGTCTGCTGTGTAAATATGAGCAACATGCAATTAAAATGATTTGACAAATTAATCATAATAATCCTTAAAGTAATTACAACCAATATAACCAATAAACTAATCCACGGGGCTGTCAAACCCCATGCAGTTTCATATCTTGAAAACTGACATTTTGTTTATATTTTCCTAAAGGTGATAAAAAAAAACTATAGTTCAGACCATAGATATTTCAATTTTTCATTCATTTACAAATCAGGTCCCATGTTTTGGAAAATATACTTAGAAAGTGTGAGAGATTTGTCTTTTTTTTCTTTTTGAAAAACTGGGTGATTTTACATTGAAATCTTGAGACAGGGAGATATGCCTCAAATTCTTGAGGATCCTCGATTATCCAGGAGAGTCGATATCCTGAATCCATAATATTATAAAATACTACATTATGAAATACTTTCAAACTCTTCTGGATTCTCAATAATCTCAAGAAATATATGCAGGACAAATTATTACCCAGAAGACAATGCTCTTGGAGAGAGCTTCCTGAAATTGTAGTAAAGAACATTGTGTTGTCATCTCAACGACATTGTCACGTCTGGAATGAATAGCTTTATGTAAATACTATACTTGAGATACAAGAAATGGACAACGTTTTTTTAGAAAAATTAGTTTTTCTAATGAATTTCTTACCAAAAAGCACTTTTATCAAAATATCAAGGCATTGTGGAGATAAAGACGATAAAGATAAAACTTCACAGAGCAAGTCAGATGTCCATACTTCAACTAATTTCATTCAAATAGAGGTATATATATAACTAAAAGCAGTCTGACACTGACAATAAAAGCAAAAAAGTATTTACATGATGTTTTCACCCTTTCCTTTTGTATTATATTTTTTATATCAATTTTATTACACTTGACTTAATGATTTTTCAATGTATTCAATCTCAAACATATTTACATATGGATTTTCATTCCAGACGTGATTTTGAGAAGACAATGAAACATTGTCTACCGGTACTAACAATTGTATGAGTTTTCCTAATTAATTAAGCAACCAATTCCCCTTGAATTGTATGGATTGTACAAAGTTTTTACAAATTTCGGAGAGAAAAAAAAATTGCATGAAAAAAATTGCATGAAAAACCAAAATCAAATTCTTTTTTTTTTTTTCAAAACTTTCATTGTTTTCTCATCCATTTTTGTTTTATTTTTTGGCAGCAACCTGACAAACATGATATTATATTTTTGTGGAAAAAAGGGCAATTAAAAAATTGTAGTCAGAAAGGGTGTAGTCATTGAGCAGGACAAAGTGTATCATTTTGTTTCTTTCTCATCTGTAAAACAATTGAAGCATGTGTTAAACATTTCAGGAAACTCTCCGCACAGCCCTGGCAATGGGAGCTGATAGAGGAATTCATGTTGTTATTGATGACAAAGATTATGAAGGACTACAGCCACTTGGTGTTGCAAAACTGCTAGCTAAAATAGTTGAACAGGAGAAACCAGACATAGTACTTCTTGGCAAACAGGTGAAACTAGTGAAAACTATCTAGACACTATCTATACTGTACAAAATTACATTATTAAATGATCATATATTGCTTTTTCTATCTAATTGATTACCCTGGTCCCAGAGGCTTGCCTTCTTTTTCTCTGCTGACTTGTCAGTATGGTGATGCTGAGTGTGTTTAATGTTCAGTGGAAGCGTCTGTTTTAAGCATAGGTGATCTCACTTTCATGCAGTACTTAAGCTGTCAAATAAACTAACCAATCACAGATAGGAGGAATGTACTCCATTATCTATGATGATCCATGATTGGCTGTTTTATTGGGCTTGTCTGACAGTCAAAATCCCTTCAAGCCCTTCTGAAATTGTTATATCATTTTGTATGTCCAACTTCTAACATTGCATAAAAATCAGATTAACAATGCTTGAAACTAGATAGCTTTCTTGCACTTAGAAAATTTTGATTAGAGCAGATTTTGTATTGACTGTGGAAAAAAAAGTGCCATGATGACGGTTCAGTGACTGTTATACATTATTGAATACATATAAATCCATCCTAACATAAACACTTAAGTAAGGTGAACCTCTGGGGCCAACATACAAATTCTGTTTATTCCAGGCTATTGATGATGATTGTAATCAAACACCTCAAATGCTGTCAGGTTTACTGAACTGGCCTCAGGTACAAATAACAATATTTATTACTAAACAGACACAATAAACATTTTCTCAATGAAATCCATGTGTGGAAATCATGTTTCTAATAGAAACAAAACCTGTTGCATGAATAATTTCAATTAGTATTTTTTCTATTTAATAGTATATTGGTAATTAAATTGGACATTCCACATCATTGGTGATGACCGTATAGTTTCCATGAAGTTTCTCATCAATAAACATCAATATCCTCAAGGCTGTTGACTGTTGTATTTTTCAGGCTCTTTATGCCTCCAAGATAGAACCAAAGGATGGTATACTACATGTAACAAGAGAAATAGACGGAGGACTTGAGAATATCACAGTAAAACTACCATGTGTAGCATCAGCAGATTTAAGGTCCAGCAGTTATCAAAATACTGTTTACTAAATAAAGTGTTGACCAACATGAAACAAAACAACAGGGGTTGGATGTTCAATTCAACCCATTTCTTTTATATGGTTTTATCAGCTGAGTAAGGTTGTGTATAACTCTGTGTATGTCATGTACAGCTTGTCACAAGTCTAGAAGTAGAGCTCTTGCACAGTTTGACAGCTCAATATGCCTGTACAAAAAGATAAAAAATAGCACCAACTTAAGATTAAATCGCTTTTTGCTGCATTTCTTTAGATTAAATGAACCAAGATATGCTACCCTTCCTAACATTATGGTAAGGCTGAATTGAAATCTTTTTTCATGATCCTTTATCTATTTTGTTCCTTTCTATCTCTTCTTACTTTAAACCTCTTACTGTCTTACAAAACTTTTCTTTCCTTCCTGTGCCTGTAGTTTCTGTTTTATTTGTTTTTATGCTATTATCTTTTTATTTTATTTTTTCATCCCATTCCCTTTCTTTTCCTTTAAACCCTCCTCCCAGATCTATCATGTAGGCTATTTTCATACTGTTAATTATTTCCCTCTTGATCATCAATGTGAGTTATGTAATCATTCACAGAAAGCAAAAAAGAAAAAGATTGACAAAAAGAAACCAGGAGATCTTGGTGTGGATATCAGCCCAAATATCGAAGTATTGAATGTAGTAGATCCTCCTGTACGTAGTGCTGGCATAAAAGTAGAAACAGTTGATGATTTAGTGGGGAAACTTAAAGATCATGGATTTCCTGCTTAGGATGATTTTGCGCATGAAATGGTTGCCTATTGTACTTTCATTTAATTTGATATTTTCACACTCTGTACTTAAATTTTGGTCAGGAATTTGACTATGAAATTTTAATAAACTATAGTTGTTGTCTGTTTTGTTCTGTCCTTTTGTGTTCAAATTTAATAGTTAAAAAAGTGACATTCTCTTAAGCTCAAACCCAAGGGAAACTTTTCAGCTCGTTTTGTTTCAGGACCGCGTGAGAGTGATGAAAGTCGTTGATTATAATTCAGCACTTAGTGTTTTATGCATTTAAAACGACTTTTAAGTACTTTAAAATGAGCGTCCATACTTCAAAACCACTCAGTTCAAACGAAATTGATATGGAGATTTGGAAAATCATGAAATATGAATTGTTCAAAAAGACGTTTAATACAAACTAACACGAGGACAAGCTTCAGCTTATGTAAAATGTGGTGTGGAGTGCACGTATACACCAACATACATTCGAATGAAGCTATTTTAATGAAGTTATAAGATTCTCATTTTAGCGACGCTCCCGCGTTTTTGGAAAGTCTCCATCTTTGTTACGCTTCCTCTTCGCTGTGCTATCCGCCTATTTTTAAAAGGTTTGCAAAACTATGATGAAAAATATAGTCAAAAGCAAACAGTTTAATTAACTATAGAATAAAAAAATCGATACAATATGTTTCGGTTAAGAAGACAACATGTTTCAATTTTTGACGTGCATGTTGATTACGAAGGGGGCGTAATCACAAAAAAATGCTTTCAGAACTTATGGAGGACTCGTGTGCAGTTATTTCTGCTGATATAGAATTGATGATGTTTCTTTCTCGAAGACATACATATTTAATAGAAAGTGCCTTTATAAATGAAGGCGCCAAATTTTACGGATTGAAATTGATTATTTCAATTTTTGTGTTTGCAAAAAGTCTTCGGCCATTTGCACGACCAACCCCTACAAATCTAATCACAATCTTTTCCTCGTCCTTGACAACATTGCAAAAAGGGAGGGGAGGTTGTAGTAACACATTCATAGACGGTGTTTTACACAATTTTGCAAAAGATTGTATCTCATGAAGGGTTTTTGACGTGACCATGTCATTTTATCATTTCTATTGTTCATATTTAATCTTTTACTTATGAATGTCACGCTCGCTGTGATTGGTTAGATTTTTTTGCCTTTGCAAATGAACATCCTTGTCGTCTTTGTCACGCTCGGCGTAAAAGTCGAAAACACTGAAACGTCTTCAAGGTAAATGAGGATGAAAAGTTATATTTGTATCAAAAGAGATAAAGGCGTGTTCAACTCGATGGTTGTTTTCTTGAAGATTGCACAAATTGTGCCCTTTTGACCGTCTTCTTTGACTGACTTTCAAAGAGGACGTGGCCCAGACCTGTGGTTTTAAGACTGTCACTCACATTCTCTATGGCCAACAAGGAAGGTATGCTGGTAGATAATCTATCGACAGAAAAATCGATTTGATCGACGGATTGTATTTGTACTGGTATCATTATTATCATACCTTGGTTGAGGAACTTGACCCAGTGTATGCAGACCGCCAGATCGATCAACCGACTCGATATTTATTATACATCGCGATGTAGTTACAATCTAGAAAAAATGGATATTTTGACTTTTGAAATAAACACCAACGGTTGCATGTAAAATTCTAAATAATTTAATCTTTATTGGTCAATAATTTCCGTATTTAAAAATACTCCAAACACTATTTGTTTTGTTTTGTGTGTGAAGAGATTTTGATGCAAATTGCAGCTTCAAACTTCCAGTCAGTTCGAAGGCTTCTCTTTCTTTTCTATCGTCAATGTACTAGTATTTTACAAACCGCGAACAATTTATTAATAAAACGACTATGTTTTCATACACAATTGTGTTTTACCTTGTAAAAATAACACTTTACAAATTTAGTTTATATAGTCTGGCAATATGAATAGATTCGAGCGGGATTTTTGTTTACATTTCATCGTTGGCCGAATAAATTCGACTATGAACACTTGTTTACTCCGAAAACCACTTAATTTTCTCACTGAAACTTATCTATTAAATTTAAATGGCTTCTACTGGGAATGGAAGAGAGTAGAACCTGTGGGCGGGTATTTATATGAAATTTGATGAATGCCGAATGCTGAATTCTAACTCTTTTCATTAAACATTTCATATTTGTTACTAATTTTAGACAATATTATTTTTGAATATATTTGAGTAGAGGGGAGATAATAGTTTGAAAGTATTTGATAACTATAATAGAAATGTATTATGAATAGTTCTAATCAGCATGCAAAATAAACGCTTTAAATTATTCAATTTATTAATTTTAATAAGGGAACTGACAAATCCAAGATTTATTGAGACACAAAAATTGAAAATATATGAGTCTTTTTCAATGTTAAAATGGATCTATTTGGGCCAAAATGTTTGACCTGTTTGGCTTACATTTGTCATTTACATGACATTTTCAGTTATCAGAGGGGAGGGGAGGGGAGAAAAATGTTTTTTGGGGGAGGGGATAGGGGAGGTATTCATTTATTTATAGTAAAAACTGTCTTATATCTAATTTAACTTTGATTTTTCTTCTTTTAAATGGATTAAAAATGATGTTATTTTTTTTGTAAGATTCAGGTTCTTCTATTACTGATACCAAGATCAGGGCATATGATATTGCTCAAATACTTCAAGCAAAATATGCATATATGACAGGTATTAATGTATTTTATACATCACTATTAATGGGAGCTTGGCATGATTGTTATTAAAGAAACTTGATCTATCATCAGTGCCTTTACACCTGGGATTTTCTCCATAAATGTTTGGGGAAAAATTGCAGCTGTAACACAGGCTAGTGTACCATCAATAATTGTCTCACTCATTCTCCAGTCACTTTAAAAACWTTGAAACAAGCAGTTGTCTTGCATGACAGTATTATTTTGAATACCGTACTGCAAAAAAATACAGACATATTGTTCATAATTATGACCATAATGTTTGCCAGACAACTATCAAGCCTTTGCAACAATATATCCATTCATTCTTCTCCCTTTTTATTCATTTGTCCATTCATTTATTCCTTCATTTTTTTTATTAATTCATTCATTTTTTTTTCCATTTTTAACATTCCAGGTGGCAAAGACAATGAAGGAAATGTAGTCATCACAATCCCTCTTACATCTAAGCTGAACAATGGAGTCAGTGACAAAGACCTGCAAAAGCTATTTAACTATTTTACAAGTTTACAGAGGTAATTATTGGTGGGGTGGGATGGGGTAGGGTGGGGTAGGGTAGGGTAGCGTTGTCAGATAATTTATGGAGTCATCATTTATTGGATCTCCATCAGGGGATATAATTTTTTAAGTTTTCTGAAATAATGATTTTTACCTCGCAGCTTTTTTGACAAAGATGTTGCCAACCAAAAGTTCACCATCATTTTAGACAGACGGAAGTCAAAGTGGAGCAGTGTGAATAACTCTTTGACAAAACTTAAGGTAAACTTCACAAAAAAACAAAATAAATGAATAAATAACGGGAATAGCGCTTTGACGTTGGTGATAATTAGCACGACCGCCATAATGGCGTTTTTAGTGTCATTTACCCAAACCCTTACAGTATATGCACGGCCTTACTKGCGCGTAGGCAGTGRACTAAGTGGTTTMTTTTATTTWTCATTGGTTATATAACAAAGGACTCTCTATCCCTCCGCGATGTTCAAATTTGCTATAGAACCGGACCTTTCCTAAAAACGTTTTGATAGCAAATTAGCAATCTTCTGTCTGAGAACTCTCGYTGATAAGCGCTGAAAATCTACTCTTCAATTTTAATATTATTCAGATACTGAGTGGTTAAAAAAGCGATTAAAATTCGCGGCTAAAAGATCAATCTCCTCTCTGCATACCGCATCGTTTCCGTTTACGTTTTCAAATTATGACAAAAATTAGGAGTGTTGCGGTGAAGTTATTCTTTCTGAGATGTCTGTTGTAAAATAACCTAAACCTATTTAACACCGGTTACTACAAAAACACACTTATTAGTCATAAAACTGCTTATGTACAATGATAAATTAGAGTCCTCTGTTKCTATCTTTCTAAGGGTATTTCACAATGTGTTTTCGGGGATTTATCATCGTTTTACCACGCCCTTATGTCTTGAGTGTGACATTGATTGCAAGGTTAAGTTTCTCTTTTCATGTCGTTTAGAAAACGTTCCCTCATGCTTCTGTGAACTATGTTTTGGTGTTAAAACCTCAAGGACTTTTTCAGAAGATCGTTGGTGGTGGGGTGTCAAATGAGGAAGCACAAGCAGCCTTCAAGGTAATTATCAAAAAGAGCACTTCGCAAAGTCTCTTCGAGCAATATTTATGAAAAAGAGTGAAGTTTTATTTTTTGCCTGCTGGTTCTAAGCGATAGATATATATACTTGTTATGGTTGGTGAGGTTTTGGAGTGGATTGTTTTTCACGTGAATGACATCGATTTGTTTGCTGCAGTCTCAGAGACTGGGAAATAGACCGGTTTTAATGAAAGCTGTCCGCAAAAAATAACAACAYGTTACTGAGGTTAAAGGTATCTTAATTTCAGGGCAAAGTAATGTGATTAAATGGTATATGGAATTGAAAAACAACTGACCCATTTCCAACGAACGACACGATACGCTGATTCGATGCCTCGTAACATGAGTGGTTGTGGCGAATATCCAATGAAAATACTCGACCTTTTTGTACAATAGCCGACTAGCTTCATGTGTTTTGGAATGATTCATTGATTATTCAAAATCTAGAACAAACTGTCGGAGGCGTACTGCTGGGATTCGCGTTTATTTCGTAAAAATGAACACAMTTTAATATCTGTGATATTACGTAAAAACTGTTYCCTTACATGATTGATGTAAGTATGGCTGTTCTATAGATTGTTGTACTCAGCAATGTTGCTGACTTGGACAAATACATCAATCAAGAACATCTGTCTGTGGATTTGGGTGGAAAATTGAACTACAGGCATGAACAATGGATTGAGCATCGAAGTGTAAGTGTATTGTGATTTAATAAGTCGTTTTGTAGTCTATAACATCATTGACGTAAAACGTTTCATTTTTGCGTGTTTTATTGCAAGCCATAATCTTCCAAACATAATTATCATAAACAATTCGCGTCACAGCTATGGATATATTTAGCTCTACAAAAAACCTCTCTGTCTCTTGACTAAAGTACATTTCACCCTAATAACTTAACTATATGAATTTTCTTTGTATCGAAGAGGCTATTTGTTTTAATTAAAAAAACTTTGTTTTTTCCATAACCATCATTAGAAAATAATTGGGCCTGGRTCGCTTTGACCGTAAATTGTAAATATTTCAATTTTTGTCACAATTTCTCTGTTCATAGGAAATGTAATTTGTAACTTTCAATGTAACTTCGTCCTTACGATATCAGACTGCCGTCTGTGTAAAACGAAAATTGATTAAAATTGAAACAAAGGCTAACCACTGGTTAGCAGACATTGTCTCTCCAAAATATCATGCATAATCCTTATCAAAATATTTTCAAAAACAATACGAAAAAAATGTATAAATATATCTCACTGAAAAGATTTCTTTCTGTTTAGGCAATAGAAAGATTTGATTCCAAGGTCTTCCAATTAACAAACAAGCTTGAAATGTTACGACGAAAATTTGAGAAGACGGAGGTCAAATCTAACATTGACGAAATGGAGTACACGTTAGAATCACATCGAGAAATGTGGAAAGACTTAAAGGAAGATATTGTAAGCACTAGAACGTCAGGTATAACTATATTAAAATGTATCCATCCAAATCGGCATAAAGAAGACGGCAAGGATGGAAGCGCCGTAGGACCAGATGTCAAAGCTAATACTGATGAATTGGATGGACTTTTCAAACGCTTACAAGACTCAGATAATTCATTTGCACAGTTTTGGGAAACACATGATCAACGAATACGTCAAGGAATGCAACTTTTACAATTTGAAAAAGAAGTCAGTCAGGTGGGTAGTGATTATTTSTTTACAGAGGTTAAGTTATGATTTGTCAGTTCCGTTTGTCATTTTGTTGCTCAAAGCACTAGGAACTGAAAACAAACGCTTAGGTTTTTATATAGCAAATCTCAGTCGAAAAGGAGGACTGCCTAAGCTTTTTATATTCAATTATGGACAATTATCAGTGCAATTACTTATCTTGGCGACTATTCAGAGGAATACTGTACATGCGTCATCAATTTTCATRGAAACATTTTTCGCTATTTTMAACCAATTCAATAGATTTTGGAAAGCACGTGATCTTGGTTTGCTGGTTTTGTATAAATGTTTTTTTTATAAACACTAGTTGATTAGTTATTGAACTCTCACAGTAGAAATGGTATTTGATTCAATGCGTTAGCTGTTGATACTACATGGTCTGGTTTGTTTGTTTACACTTTAATAGATCTCTTAGTGTTCACTAATTGCATTTTTGTAAGATTTTTCAGTTCTGCTGTTTTATTTTATCATTTTTGYTTGTTTTGTTGCTACTACTGTTCTTGTTGCGTCAATAATGTTGTTGTTGTTTTTTTCTTCTTTGGTTGTTGTTGTTTTGTTTTTTTGTTTTGTAGTTGTTAATTTCACAATTAATACCTTACGAGAAATATCCTACATATAACCGGCATACATGTATGTCTTAACTTTTTTGAAGTGAATCTATTCCAGTAAGAATATTGAATTATTTCACAGGTAACAGGACTACTTCTATCAGACTCAACCAAGATTTCTGCAATGGTGGACGTTGGAGACTGTAAGCCTGCTGCGGAAAAACTGCTGGAAGAATTAAACGAATTTCGACTTATTTGTCAGGTAAGATACCTTGCGTCCAAAAGCCAGACTCGTCCAAATAGACGCGTTGTATGAATGGCTTCTACAGTCTCTACACATTAAACCTATAAAGTCGTGYTCTAAAGAAATCCTCTGGCGTGAAAACGAAACATTCGATCGAACTATCTATCCCTCGTCTTGGTTTACCTTACCTAGTTACTGTAGCAAAATGTTCATTGTGAATAAGATGTTCTAATGTAGAAGACATGTCGGCGTGAGGGAAATACACACGTATGCATAATACGCTCTCAATAGTTGAACTCAGCTTATAAGTGGTTGTCTTCACTGTCTTCGTTTAACCTGGTCATCCAATCATTCACTGCGCACACTGCCTGCAATTATCCGGGTTTAAATTCCTATAGAAATGTTTTCCTCTGTTGTAGGATCACATCACAATAGCAGAAGCCTTATTAAAGCGAGGAACTGAGATGACGGACATGAATCACTTATCTAATGTAACCATAGAAATGACCTCCAAAGAACTGAAACGATCTTGCACGGAATTGACAGAGAAGATTGAAAAACGAGTAAACCAACTCAAGACTGCAATGGATATTCATGAAGTTATTGATCAGGTACTAGTACAGACTGTCCACCAATCACAGTGCCTTAATCTTACCATCTAATGGATGTTTGTTCATATTCCAGGCAGGTAGATGGTGCACYAAAGGTAGTGATCTCCTAGCAACGCAACCAGTAGAGAAATTCCAAACCACAGAAGGTGCAGAGAAGTGTTTAGAAGAAATMGAAAACTTCTTAAAGGACCGCCAAGGCGTCAGTCTAAAGAAGCTCAACCAACTTGATAAAATGAGTAAAGAATCAGAGAATAAATACTTAATACAGAAGGTCAAGAATTGCTTGAAGAGAATCGGTGAAGTCAATGAAATGATGAGTAAAAGAGAAAATAGGTRCGTAATTTATTGATTTATGTGATTAAGACACCAATAATTGTTAAACTTTTGAGTGTTCTCAGATAAAACGATTTCCAGTGATTGTTCTTGACCGTTTTAACAGCTTGAAACGTATGGTTGCTAAGAGACCTGTCCAGCCAGTGAAAGCTCTGCAGGTCGATACCAAAGGAGATGGAAAACGGAAAACAAGTACAGCGTCAATAAGTGAGTTTATTTTTTTTTCGGTCTGTATCCTGGTCATTCGCGCGCTGTGATTGGCTAGAGCGCGGTCCGGTTTTTCACGATCTGCCCGGTCCAATCCTGCTAGGCTGCGAGCAAAGTTGCATAAAATACAAATAAAAAAAATAAAAATGTTATTTGCCGGCTATAGGTCGGTCCGTATAGGAAAACACTTCCCTCGGTATTCTATGTACGGACCTCGCTGCGCTCGTTCCGTAATGTCAAGACCTTACCTTGGGCAGTGTTTTCCTATACGGACCTCCCAGCCGGTAAATAACATATATATATATATAGACTGGACTGTTTTTCTACTATCTCACAATTCCTTTCGTTCATTTTCAAACATTTCCTTGAAATTTGTCCCTCGGTCCTTTTCTCAGAAAAAGAGAAAAAATTCCATTTCTCATCTTTCCTCTTTCTTTTCTTGACATCTAAAGAAGATTCAAAACGTAAAATAAGCTCCTCTTCAACAGGTAAGACTTTCACACCATCCTCGCTCCCAGATCCTCGCTTGCTTTTGCAGTGTCTGTGTATAATATAGTATTGCATGCCCACTACCCTGAGTATTGCCGGGGTTTGTCAACCTGCTTCGGCGCGTTTTGCTTCCGTGTCGTGGGATAGACTGTTTTTGTTTATTTTTGTTCACTAGTCGCCGTGTCTTTGTATAATTCGTGCTGTGTTGTCTACAGATGAGGAACGCAAAGGCAAAGCAAGTCCAACACCGAAAAGGCTATCGATCGTCTTGACTGACTCGGGACCGCCATCTCCCGTTCCACTATCAAAGAATTATGCAAAGGCAGTTTCCATACCGGATTTGTTAGTAAGTTTGTCTTCAACATTTGAAACGTTGTTTTATATATAGTATTTTATTCCTGCTTTTTGTGCTTTTGGTTCTGATTTATGTGATACCATACTCACTAATGGCCAATTAGCTAAAGGCGATAGTTTTCCCGCGCCATCCCAGCTCTAGTGATTGTCTCTCAACTCAGATAGCTATAGYGCGATAAAAACTAATTTCCTTGGTTTATTTCYAGGATGCAGTCGACGGCGAAGACACAGAAGAAATCATCAAGAAACGAATGCAAATCATGAGTGAACTCGTCGCGACCGAGCGTGACTACGTTCAGGACCTTAACTGTATCATTCGCGGTTATGTTAGGGAGTTTGAAAAATCTCAAGATAAAGTTCCTGACGAGATTTTCTCCCAAAAACACTTAATATTCGGAAATATTGAAGAGATTTACCGGTTTCATAATGAGGAGTTTCTTAAAGAGTTAGAACGATGTGTTGACAATCCACTTTTAGTTGGTAAAGTGTTTCATGAGAAGAAAGACGATTTTGAACTTTATGCTGTCTATTGTAAAAACAAACCGGCGTCAGAGCAATTACAACAAAATTTTACAAACCTACCGTTTGTTAAGGTGAGTATCAGCATTAATCATCAAATGAATAAACTAATAGGAATGCATGGTTRTTCTCTGAAGAAAGAAATGGAAATGAAACGCGCGAGAAAAGTGTGTATTTCTAAACTATTTGTGTTTTAGGAACTTCAATCCAAGCTTGGTCACAAGTTGCCGTTAACGGCTTATCTTCTCAAACCTGTACAAAGGATAACTAAATATCAACTGCTACTTAAAGAAATGATGAAAAATACTCGAAATAAAAGAGAAGCGTACATTAATTTGGTGGTGAGTTGCTACATCTGTCATGCATTATTTTCAAGRAAATAACTGGCAAATTGAAAATTGTGCAAACTGAGGATGAATCTTTTCAAAATCACAAGACTAGATTTCAGTGACTGTCAAAACAGCCCTTTTCACAAATATCATGGATGTTCAACGTAGTCTAATTCACAGAGCAAAATACCTGATTAACGCGGGATTTCCTGCTCTGAATTTGCTTCTTACCGATCTTTTTCCAGGAAGCACTGCAATCAATGCAGGGTGTGTTACGTCATTTAAATGACGTCATGCATTCCCGAGGACTTCGTGGTTACCATGGCAACCTTGCAGACCTCGGGAAATTATTACTTCAAGAATCGTTTATGGTTTGGCATGTAAATAAGAGAGGTATTTTACGAGCAGTAAAGGGAAGAAGGAGGCAGGTTTTCCTGTATCAAAAGATGGTTCTTTTTACCAAGAAAGAGGAAGATTTGAACAGTAAAGATGTTGTGTGTTATCACTATAAGAATGGTTTGAAGGTAAACATTCAGTTATTGTATAGTTGGAATATTAATGAGCTTATCATGTGGTTCTCAATTAAATTGTCAATTTAAACTATGAAATGTTATTTTGCTAGCTATCACCCAGTCCAAACACCGGCTGCATCCCTAAACCACTKCATTGCAATTATTGCTATGGTCGTTGGACTTTGTTATAGCAACACAGCAAGCCCAATGAAACCATCCAGGGATGGATCCAGTGWTTGGATTAGCTATTATCCTGATAATATTGTGTTGACAGGAATATATATTATTGTATATTTTCATAGCTGAGTGAAATTGGCATCACTGAAACAGTTAAACAAGATCCTCTCAAATTTGAACTATGGCTGAATAAAAAATCTGAAATATTCATTCTTCAGGTATCGTAATGCTCATGGTTCGTCGTTTGTGTCAATCGCTATCTTATACATATCAATGACACTCTATTACATGAACAATCTCTCTGTTCCATCCATTATTTGTTTTCAATCGTATTGAACCATTTCATTTAAGACATTTATCCATCTATTTATTTTCTCATTCTTCCATTCACATTCATCCATCTAAACATTTATCCAACTTTCATTTTATTCTACATTCCAGGCATCTTCAGTAGAAGAAAAAGAACGATGGATATCCCAAGTACGAAACGTGCTTCTCAGCCAGTTTGACCAAGCAAAGGCTGAACAAGTTTTCAAAAAACAAGGTATGATAAGATATATATAGTAGTACTAGTTGAATAGGGTTATTATATTATGCATTGGTAAATTGAAACCCCAGCCCCCCAAACAACCCTGGGGAGAGGTGACTCTAACTGACTCTCGCCATTGACACGGTGCTCAGAAATGTAATGAACAACCAATTTTAGGAAGTCAGTAAAAGTTTTTCGTTTATGTAGCAATATTGTTCAAAGCGATCTAAGGAAATTTCAGCGCTTTTTAACAGCTAATACCGGCAAACAACACTATCTTGGAACATTCCAAAGCTTTGAGTTGTTTACTTTTCTATTCATTGTAGGTTGGAATTCAGCTCCAAATATGCAGGACATAGAATCATCTTGTTCAAATTTGTCCTTCTTGTCATTGTCACAGGAAAGGTAAAATAGAAAGAAAGGAAAAAGATTAGTGATGAATGTAAAACAAAACTCATATTCATATTTCCGATTACAGAGGGTTGGATGACTCCAGTCAGCAGGGTGATTATGATGATGACTTTGATGATGGATCAGATAGTTTTGATAGTGATGACAGTGATAGTCAAGACACTTCAATGAATGCAGAGGTAATTGAACGCTCATGAAATGTGTTAGTCATTTTCAGCTTTTTCTCACATTTGAAGACAGGTGTTGAATATGGTACGAATATACTATAAAATAACGTTCCAATGCATGTAGTGTCTAATACATGTTGTATAATGTTTTTTAAGCCTTATCTTTTTTCCATAACTCTACTATCTATTCAGAGTTCTTCTCTAATGGATCAAAACCAGTAATGTTAATTCTTGTTCTCCTCATATCTCTACAAAGGTAGGACTCTATTTCTTGTTCAATATCACTCTAGTTAAATGACGCCTGTAGCTATTTCACGTCATTCTCCTGACATTGTAAACACTTTTTTTAACTAACTTCAGGCTTGAATGTTTCAAGGAAAATTATCATTGAGAGATCTTTCATGGTAGAATATTGATATTTTACTGCATTGAAACATGAATTGATATTGGTTGTGTTTTTTCCTACAGGAATCAGCAATGAGGCATGGTTATATGTACTCTGTGATAGCATCATACTCTGCAGTAGAGCAAGGTGAACTTTCCATCCGAGAGAGAGCTGCCATTGAGGTGTTGAGATTGGGAAATGATGGTTGGTGGTATGCAAGAGATGTAGCAACAAACCAAGAGGGATGGGTCCCAGCAAGCTACCTGGAACCATTGACAAACAATAACTCTGCTTAAATCCTTATCCATAAAAACCTTTAATGAACTCAAACCTGATATCAGGCAGTAGCTAAACAACTTAAGAACAGTTAAATCATTATTTAATTAAAACAATTTTCAGTTTATTTACAATTTTAAAGAGGGCAAGCCCATAGTTGATGTCCTCTAGATTTTTTTTACATTTTGCTTTATTTACAATTCAAAAGGAATAATTATTATTTGCCATAATTCTACTCACATTTTCATGAAAAAAACCCATTCGTTTCATATTGAATTAATTAATAATCAGAGTAAATTATTTCTTGCAAAAAACCTAAAATATGAGAAGTATTTTTATACACATAAATGTAGAGTTAATTTAAAAGTATGCTTTAAAGCTGAGCAAGTCTAATGTTGCTTGATCTGTACCTTGGACGTTGTTTGGATTTCCACCATCAATGTGTAGACTACAACTTGTTGGACACCAAAAAAATGAAATAACAATAATTTTGGCTGCTGTTTATAATATAATGTATTCACTATGTGTGAATACATCGTGAAAATAGTGCATTAATCCATTTTCTTTGATTTGTACAATTTGGTGCAATTTTGCTAAAGTTGTTTCACAGATAATTAATACAATATAAATAACTGTCATAAATGGTGAGTTGATAGTCAAATCGACACACAAGAAAAACAATCCTATGTCAGCATGAATTGAATTGTCTTTTTTGACCTCACTTTACTTTTAGATATTAGTATCTAATGAGACAACTTTCACAGAAAAAAAAACAACACTTTTTGCATCCTCGGGAACCCAGGGGTATTTTTTCCGTGAGTGAGGAACGAACAACAGAAGATTACCCCTGGGTTCCCGAGGATGCACTTTTTGTAGTATTGTCTTATTTTTGGCTTCTATATTCCATTGGATGGCTAAAAACGTGTTTATTGTAAATCCTTGTGGTATATGATGCCACTCTCAGTATTTGTACTATCATAACATGATGTATTGCAGGACATACATAAAATTAATAGATTTATATGAAGACAACAAAATTATGGAAATAGAAAAATAATATGGTCAGTTCATAATATGCAATTTTCATTTCAATGGCCATTTGCATGGTGTAACTTTAATACAACTACTAGAAATCCTTACACACTTTCTTTGCTGTTCAGATTTTTAATCACTTTGGAGATTAGTTAAACACATTGGGAATATATTACATTACAATAGAAAGTGGACAAAGCATTCTGGTAGTTGTAGTTATTGACGCCATAATGCAAATCGCCTTTTTAAAAACTCAACAATTATGACAATAAATATCAGTGAACAATGTGACATGTACTTTATGCTCTCCACTTTTCATGGACTTTAATAGAGTTTGACAATGCTTCATACATTGTAGATTATCAAGACACTGCACAAAACAAGATAATAACATTTGGCTCGTTCCAGCACATCTGCCATCTTTTGGTCAGTGTTGTTATAACCTATGAAGCATTTTCAAGCGTAACTCCCCTATTTACTCAACGTTAGGTCCCAAAAAGAGTTGAGACTTATGTCCAAACACCTTATGTCATATCCTGATTCTAGAATCTCTGGGTTTGGACAGCATGGAGAGATTACACCTTCACTAACATCTGTTCCTTTCTAACATGATAATGAATCCATATACTGGTCCACAATCTCTTTCATCAGCATTCAAAAGCCTATAAGTTTGTCAATTGGCTTGTATTTCCACTGGTCTTGACTAATACGTTCTAGTTCTTGGCGTAGTTTTGTCATTCTCTGCTCATGCATTTCTGAAAGAATGAATATTCTTTAAAAAATCACCACTATATAAAAGTTGACAAGTTATCAAGTATTAAAAACAATAACACCTTCGATTTACCTTTTTTTAACGAGTTAAGGTGATTTTCAACCTCTATGTCTACCTGTATCTTGTTCAACAGAGTTTCTAAGCCATCTACAAAAAATAAGCTTTAAATAATCAGGATATTTTTGCCTCATCGATATCTGCCAAAGTCCTTCACATAAACTGTATCACATTTCTCCAACGTGCTGCTAAAACAACAAAGTGACMAAATATTTGCTAACCTGTTCCTTTGTTTGGTGTCTCTTCAACAGGAGGGGAACGAAATAGAGCTTTTCTCAGCCCTCCACCACTGTTGCTAGCCGCCATTTTGTCAACTGATGTCTGACGTGCATGCGTAAAGCAACCGCTAATAACATGACCGCAGGCTCTTGGCGCCTTCCTCAAAAATTTGACGCAAATTAGCGAAAAGATGAAACGGAAGAAAATATTCTTTGACGTTTTCCTGTGCTCTTAAATACTAGTATGAACGTTGATTTGTGTTTTTAGTGTTTAAAGAAGGTTAAGAATGAGTTCAATCAGTCAGTTTATTTGCGGAGCGGTTGCTGGCGTTGCTGTTGTTATCACTGTTACCAGACTACGAAATTACTGGACAGAACCAGAACCAACAACAACACCTCAACCAAGCATTGACTATCGAAATGATGCCATCGATCAAGAAAGTCTAACTCAAGAAAGAGTCCTTCATACCATCCAGAGTGCTGCAACCCCAATGAGGGCGACACCAGATGAACCAAGTGAAGAAGACGAGGAGGAACCGAGACGCAAAGAGAATGATTGTCAAAGTATTTTGAATTTGTTGTATAATATAGCTGAGGATCAGGCCAGGAAAGAAGGTTTTATTCACCGTGGTATAACCTGTAATACATGTAATTGTACACCAATAACTGGAGTGCGTTACAAGTGCGCAAATTGTGTAGATTATGATATTTGTGAAAGGTGCGAGACTCAGGACTGCCATAACAGAACTCACGTATTTTTGAAAATCATTATCCCTATCCCACCATTGGCCAATCCAAGGACACCTTGCACAAATGCGCTGTATCCAGGTATGGAACTGTAGATTATACTCTCTCTTTTTTCTCTTAGTTAATTGTTTTTTGTTTTTTTTTATATTTTTTTTTCCTAATTTTTTTAAATATTGTTGTTGTGATCATGATATCTGTATTTATCTAGTTTTTGTATTTTATTATTAGGCAAGAAAAACCACCCATGCCAATTAACTTGGGATGAAATTGAAAAAATAAAAAATGAGACCCATTTTGACCAAGTGGAAATTGAGGCTCTTGTCCAGCAGTTTAAAACTCTTGCAACAGAAGATCTTGGAATTACAAAAGATGTTTTTGATCAATGTCTTGGTCCACTTGGACAGCACAGAAATTTGGTGATGGAGCAGATGTTTCGATTCTATGACCAAGATGGAAATAATATAATTGATTTAGAAGAATTTATCCATGCTTTATCCATTTTAGTCAAAGGCACTCAAGAAGAAAAAATCCCTTTTGCATTTAAAGGTTATGATATAGAATCCAAAGGTTACATTAACAAAGAGAATTTGAGAAACATGTTCAAGGCATATTTTAATGTCAGTTTGGAGCTGGTGCGAGACGTTGTCAAGTCTTGTGAAGAGGAGATGATGGCATCTTTTGATGATGCAGCTGATAAACCTGTGTCAGCTGTATTTAATGCGCCAATACCCAATCATGGAACCCCGTCTACTTCTGGTAAACCCTCACAGCATTACATGTACTCTAACCAAGGTACGTCTTCACAAAACGGTCCAGATGGTATGTGGCCTGTGATGGAAGCAATGTCTCAAGATGCAATTGATGAAATGGTAAATAATGTTTTCAAGCATGCTGATCTTGATGGAAATGAAGAGATTTCATTTGAAGAATTTAGAGCTTGGGCAGCAAATGACAATACTTTGCTTTCTTGGTTTGAAGCATTGGGAACAGTGTTTTAGATTTCTTTTCTTACAGGGTCAATCTAACACTAGATACTTTATTGTTTTACTGGGAACATCATTTTAGATTTCATGTTGGAAACAAAATGGTTCATGTGAGTTTTAGGGATCATTTCTATGCAAGATTAGATAACACTTATAACATATTAATAATTATAATTAATAATATGATGATTAATGATGTTAATAATATTGATTTAATTAATTATGAAAATTATCTTCATTACATCCAAACAAGTACCATTACAAGCTGCATATTTTGAATTMAGAATCATTTTTTTCTCTATTTCATGATAACTTAATGGGATGATAAAATAATCTCTAATGTTCTAATATCTCAATTTTCCTAATCTGTCAAACTCTGATATTATGTATTGTCTACCATTTATCATCACCACCTTGACTTTGTACTGGGTGTTTTTATAATTTTGCATGGTAAGTCCACTAGTGTTTGGAAAATAGAGCTTTCATTCCAGGAAAATACAAGATTTTAGATGATAAATGATATATTACAACTAACAGAATGCTTTGCCCACTTTAATGATTGGTTAGCATACAGGTTGTTGTAGTCAAATAACATTATCTTGCAAAATAATTTTGTACATATGAACTTTCCTTATAAGCTTCAATAACAAATATTATAAAATTTCTACATTTTGTATTTTTGGAGTGTAAATGTTTTGAAAATATTTTTTCATTTATGTGATTTTATTTGAAAGTGTGTCATTTGAAATGAAAAGTGTGAAGGATTTTTTCAATTTGTATATGACAAATAAACGAAAAGCTTAAAAAGTTGCTTGCAGATCCTGGTCATTGGGTTCCCTGTGGTGTAATTGTTTTGGAGTCTAGATGTATTTTTAGAAACAAAGCATCAATCAGTTTGGACATCAAGAGTATGTAAACATTAGACAGACTTTTAGAAAGGGTCTTGTTTCACGCCTCGATTGTATCGAGTGATGGAATGTAGAAACACACGTGCCAATATATCCATTCTTCTGTTGGCAAAAACTCTATGATTTTTACTGATTTTGAGCGATAGAATACCAGGATTTATTGGCCAAGGAGGTCTTGGAGTAGTAAATGATTTTTAATCGACTTTAGTGGCTTTTCCAGCCTGGTTTTTGTGATGGAATGTCAAGACTCTTCTTTGCGTGTTGAATTGCCTCATGAAGTGGTACTCAGATGGAAAACGTTACGTTGCCTTTACAAAACCCTACAAACTGTCCAAAATACTGATAGTTTAGTTTCGGTTTTACTTCAAATTTTTAAAGCAAGTGGATATGATTTATTCTCAGATCAGCGTAATATTGCGGGGAAAATAGACTGGAACCCTTTCTCTGGATTACAAATATTTCTCGACGAGATCGCAACAGATATCGAGAGAAAGTCTTTCTTTCAAACAGTCTTACCTGTGATTTCGAGTCTGGCTTCCAACTTGGACAGATGTGCTCCCGCTCAAGGCTTACAACGTTCTTTCAGACAGAATTGTAAGTAGTCTGTAGTGTTATTGTGTTTGAAACAATTATCGCTTTTGTAAATGTGAGTTTTTGTTTGATATGAGTGGTGATGTGCTGAATCGTTTATGATTTATATAGACCTATTAAGACTATTACAGTCATAACTACATTAAATACTTTGAGAGTTTATTTATTTAACCCTAAACTACATTTTGATAAGCTTCTTAGAACGTCTGCTCAATAATTTTCTGACATAATTGATTAATCAATTGCAGAAAGTATTATTAGGAATAGATGTAGGAAATATACATTAGTATAAGATTAGTATAAATGAGAACCTTGAAAGACCCTATTTGAAAGCAAATCACTAAAATACATACAAATAAGACAAGTGAAATAAACTTCAATTTATATTCGTTAACTTTTCCTATGACCATATTTATCCTTGCTTCCCTCTCCCTCTGCACCCCTTTCCCATTCACTATCACATTTCTCATTCATTCTATTGCTCATTTTTAATCATTCTCATGAGATTAAAAAGACAGGCAGCAACGTTGGTAGCATATTGATACATATTTCTTGCAGCATTTACAGCATCATTGGACAAAGGATTTCTAGCATCAATTCTTGCATCACTTTTCCTCTGTGCCATGCCACCCTGTACAACTTCAAATAATAAAACTACAATAGATTTTGTCAAGCTTTATGGAAATATTCAAAGGTGAATAATTTCTGTCTTTGTATAATTATTATAAATGTGTCTTATGTATTAATGTTTATGGTTATTCTGATCTTCTATCCCAGACCTGAGTTCAAGGATCATGCCATAGCTAAACTAAGGCAAGTTTTGCAGTATTTTGAGAGGATAGCATCAAATGAGCTTGATTTAAGTGGAGAGGTTGTCTTTGAAAGACAGGTTGGTAATGCTTTTATATTTGGATTGTCTTGAAGTTAATTATACACATAATCTATTTGAGGCAAAAAGATATGATTCACAGTACTTACAAACACTGATATATAAAATTATTGTCATTTGCTCCCTGCCAGGTTGCAGAAAGGTCATCTCTTCCCTCCATCAAAGACTGGAAAGAGTTTTCTGCTGCATTGTGTCCTTTTATTGTTGAACAGAAAACAATTAAGCATTTTCACATACTTTCATCCAATTGCAAGGTATCATTTTATTTATGTTTTTTAATGGAGTTCTTGTGGTTATTGGTGGTTATTCTTATGATTGCTTGTAGGTCGACGTTTGTGGTTGTTTCCATGGTAACAATATGATGGTAAGTATACATCATGTTCGTATAAAGATAATACCTTTTTGACTTGATTATGATACTTTGTAGGTTGAGAAAGATGCAAGTTTAGAAGCATTGATAGCATCTGTGTTTGTAGAAGAATTGGATGATAACGAAACACTTCTAATAAAGGTAATTGATTGTTATGGATGATGATTGAAACCTTTATCATGACAGTGATTTGATGAAGAAGAGTATGATAATATATATGAAAATATCAATAATTTTTTGGTTGTGTCAGGAAAATGGAGCAAGTGGTCTTGTGGAAAGGTTGAATAATTGGATACCTTCACCCGCTGAGCAACAAACAGGAGATGCTGTAAGGGGCCTGGTACTGAGATACCTTAATCAGGCGCTTACTTGTTTTGACAGCCAAGAATTAAAATGCAAGTTTATGGCAATGAACTCTGCAAACAGTCAGCCCCACTATGGTAATGACATAATTTCTTTTTTCAATTTATGTATACTTTTCAATGCCTCAACCACCTTCCCATAGCACCTCCCCATGCCACTTTCCTATAACACCTCCCATGCCATGTCATACCACCTACCCATGGCACCTACTCATACTACCTACTGCTGTCACTTCCCTGTACCACCTCCCAATGACACCTGATACCACCTCCTCATGACACCTCCTCATACCACCTCATATCACCTCCTACCATCTACCCATGCCACCACCTCATACTACCTACTGCTGCCACTTCCCCATACCACCTCCCAATGACACCCCATACCACCTCCTCATGACACCTTCTCATACCACCTCATAGCACCTCCTCATACCATCTACCCATGCCACCACCTCATACTACCTCCCCGCACCTTCTCTTCATATCTCCTCCATACTAGCGCCCACCAACTTTGGCAATCCTTTGTTTATTTTTTCAGATGGTGTCCAGTTTGTGCAAGATGATCTCAATGACAATAATGTACTTCCAAATGAACCCAAACAAATACAGGACACTGACATACATGACATCACAGCTATACCTGGAATTGATGGGTTCTGCGACTCACTTGTTGACCAAGCCTATAATCAGGCACGTGATGAAATCGACATTACTTCCAAAGTGGACAGTCCTGATACGTTGGAGAGTCTGATGGTAAAATCTCTTCATGATGTTTTCCAAAAAACACCCGAGAAAGAGAAGGTGTTTTCAGATAGTATAATCCATTCTCCTTTGCTTCCTAAGTGTTTAAAACATTTCCATTCAAACGGCGATTTTAATTCTCCTTTGGTACCCAGTACACCACCTTCATCTCCTGCTAAAAGGGGACTGGTTAAAAATGGAAGACAATCCTCACTCGCGCCGTCCAACCCATTAATGGAAGAGTTAAGGCTTGGCACTAAAAGTTTTGCTGACTCGCTGGCGGAGGCGTTGATGTCGTGTGTCTTGCTTTCATCATCCTTGGCAACCTCCATAGCAACCGAGGCTTTAGATCCATTGTCAATCACATCAGTTACTATGGAGTTGTTTCAGAAGAGCCCGAGAAAGGTTAAGCTTATAGAGGAACGGCAAAATGGTCGAATTTCAGGCACGACAACAACATGTTCTTCAGATGCAGTTCAAAAACGTCTTTATCCCAAGGACGACTCTTCATTCCGTTTGCTAAGCAATCAAGAGAACGATTCAAATTTCAACGACTTTTCTTCCACTTTGTCGTCAATTGAATCGGAAGAAGACCACGAAGAACGTCGCCAAAGCTTAAACGAACTAGCATTAAATCTATTTGAAAACTTTGCATCAAAGTTGTCGACCTCGATCATTCAAACAGCAACTAGAGACATCGTTGGGGATCTACAAGGCATTGACGAAGAATCTACTCTTCACAATGCAAGTGAATCAAGAGATACTGGCATGTCTACTGAAGTCAATGTTGACGATAGGTTTTCTGATAGTGATAGCGACATAGAGTACAATGACTGGTATGACATGGACAAACAACTAGAGGACCAGTTGTACGAATTAGATTTAATTGACAACGAAGACGATGCAGAATCAATGAGAACCTTGTCAGACATGGCAGAAGACATCACGTCAAACGTATTACGTACGGCAGCATCTGCTGCTGTCACTCAACTCGAGTCACCAGCCCTGGATGATGCTCTTAAAGAACAAGGAGAAGGAGGCATTGATTATGCGGTTAAAAGTATCATAGAATACGACATCACTGATGATTACCTGGAAAGTAATCAGGAAACTATTGAGATGATCGCGTCCAATATGTCTACAAATATTATTCAAGCTGTATTCGAAGAAGTATTTTCCAAGTCAACCTCAGAGAGCTCAAGCTACATTCATTTAGAAGATGATTTTACTAGAAGCAGTGATCAGTGTGTTGAAATCATACAGTATGCTGAGGTACTTACAGAACACTTGCTAGAAACAAGTATAGCTATTGCAAGTGCTAGTGTATGGTCATGTGATGAAAGCAATGCTATCTCGACTAGTGTATGGTCATGTGATGAAGGCAATGCTATTGGTGTTCAAATGGAAGTTGTTTTACAATGGTTGGCCGCATCAGCTGTAAGTTGTCCTGCTTTGACGTTCCATACCATGGAAGACAGGAGATTGGACAAGGTACGAAGTGATTATCTTGCTACGCACGTGCAGACTTGCCGAATATATGAAAATATCGCGCATGCGTTAAGATGAGATTTACCAATTGCTTGAAGGCTTTCGTCTATGCGAACTAACTTTGTTTATTGAAATTTCAAGTCATTTTTTTCCTTGCATCTTCTCCGCTACCTCCCGGTCCTTCCTTCCTTCCTTTTTCCTTCCTTCCACATTACCTCCCTTTCTTCCTACCTTCGTTTTTCATTCCTCTGTCCCCTCATCCCCTTTCCACTTTTCATACCTTTTTTTACCTCTTCATTTCCTTCCTATTTTTTCTTCTTTTTCTTTTTCCGTCTCCATTCCCTGCTCTTCCTTCAATTTCGATTTTACGCTACCCTTGTTATTTCTTTATTTTCATTTTTCTTTCCTGGTATTCACTTATTTCATTGATGTTTTCCCAGTTGTCGAAAGTTCAACAGACGTTAAGAAAGAACCATTTACGAGTGTGTGACGTCTTGGAGATCGTTTTGCGTTACATCGACAGAGCAGATGCGCGTGATCTCTTTGAGTTTTTACTTGATAATTTAAACTGAGAGTCGATGCCGTAGGTGCATGCATTCCACAAAAAGATCGGGATTTAACGAAATTCAGAGATCTAATAGCAATGGAGATCAAGGAAACACTAAAATATGAGGAATTTCTTAAAATGGGTGTGATAATACCATGATCGTTTCGTGTATATAACATTGCTGTTGCTATGGCACTGTGGCAATTCTTTTTATTTGAGCAAATAAAATTTCATATTTTTTTATATTCTATAAAATGCGCTAATACATCAATCGAACAACCTGCCCACAACCCTGTGAATACCTGGTAATTAACGGTATTTTCCGATGCTGTTAAAATAGTATTAAATCCCCGGGATTTAAGGGGCGTGACTTCATTGATGAGATACATTACCCTCTATATGCAAGAAGATGCATAAAAAATGGGTTGTCATGCTAAATTTAATGTTAAAGTAGTCGAATATCGTACCGTAATACAAATGGTTAAATATCCTTTTTGGGGCACCGAAAAAAAAACATTGAGGCGAATCTTTTTTAATTACGAATGTAGACCTTATTAAAATAGGGCTTATTAAAAAGGCTCTTTTCACGCAAAGAACAGACGTGCCAATAACATAAAAAAATTGTCATGGAAATGATTAAAAAACAAACGAGTTTTAGGAACCATTAGTGCTTGCATTACTTATCTATCGGGACGCAGTGTGAATTATTTTCCCATGGAGTTCAAAGACTACTTTATTGGATCAGTTTGTCTCGGGTATTATCCTCTAATAAAGCATAGAGCGCAAGCTAATTGTTTTGTGGAATTTCGTGTCAGATCTGAATAAGAAATGTCAATGTCTTCCCTATGTAAACATAACAAAAAGAGTAGAAAACATCTAAACAATAACTAAAAGGCGAGAGGAAAGCAATCATTATGGCTTAAAGGCTAACTGGAAGTACAGTTAAGCGAAAGCCAAAGGAATCAATCTCGAGTAATGATGAATTTGGTCTGCAGTTGTTGACTTAAGATTTGATAAAAATTGACTCGGAAGAAAACTTGCCAATCACATATTATGAAGCAAGTTTTAATCTTTGAAGGATATGAATAAAGAAAAGATAAAAGCAATCCCTTAATTCTACAAAAGCAATATTCATTATGTAGATTCAAACCAGTTGTCTGACGAACTATATGGCAATGATGATGAAAATGATATGAAAATTAATTAACTCGTCACGTGACCCATTTCAAGACGTTTCATTGGCTACAAATTTATATTCTAAAGATTTTTCATTGGCTGTCAAACGTTCTTGTTCTCTGACTGGTTGTCGAGACTTAGCCATGAAAAAGACGCGATTTTTAGACTTCAGTCAATATTTGCAGGAGGTGCAGTGGGCTTCATGTTTTGACATCGATTATTTTAGATCTAAGTCGGTCATGGTGGTGTATCTAGAGCGGTAAGTAATTTTTATCATATATTTAGTTTTGTTAGAGTCGCAATTTATGTTTGCTTGTTATACAGGTTGCAATAGACGCCTTGCAGAAGTCGAACCATCTCTTGATATTAAAAGGTACAGGATCTTTCATTATATGAACATAATTTTTTACAATTTTAAAGTATACTAGTTAATCTATAAACTGCTTTACAAGCATTGTGGCTGGTTTTGTTATTATTCTGCTTTAAAGTAGATTTAAAAGTAATTAAAATGAATTCAGTTTTGGGTTGATGATATTCAGTGAATCTGTTTCTTCATTTAATTTCGAGCCAATACAAATTTGAAACTTCAATTTGCTTGCGAACAATTCTAAAGTACATTTTATTCTTTCATCTTCTTTTTTTACCAATTTTATTTCTGATTTTTACTTTTCTGATGAGAAAGACCGAAACAATTTGCGCATGATTTGTTTTTTCTAGTTCTTAGATTGTGTTCTCACTATTAGGTGTGAGAAATTGTCAATATAGTTCTTGATATTCACACACTTGCGGCTCCTGTTATTGTTGGTTTGTTCTTTTTTTACTAAACAAAAAAAAGCTTGTTTTGTAATATTAAAAACATTCAAAAGTAATTGAAAATTGTATTGAAAACTGTGATGAAGTGCAACTGAGAGGAACAATTCATTCGCCCAGTTCGACCTGTTATGCACCAAATTACAAAACATTTAATCAAATACGAAGCAATATTCACCTTGTTATGATGACATATATTGGAAAACATACGTCTCTTTCACCTAAAAACTATGCTCTTTAAACTGGATGGTGATCGGGTGTGAAGCAAAGTTTTATTCAGTGAAACATATGTAACATTTTCTAAATTCTTCGTGTGTAAATTTTAGCTATATCAAATGTAAATCATTCTTCTATGTATTCTTGTAATTTCATTGCTAAGCAAAACATCAATAGGCGGTCTAGCTTGAACAGCGACTTATTTCAATGTCCGTTTTTGAATCGTTAAAACTTGTTAGTCATAAGCCATGTAAATAAAACTATATTTTCATCCTATTTTTGAGGATTTAAGCTGTGTTTTAGGACGAAAAGTGGCATATTTATTAAACGTCGAGTATGTACTTCAAGTGACCTTCAAGATTTCAATTTAGACTCAAATTTGTGTCTGTTTCTTTCAAGCAATCATCAAATGGTCAAGGTCTTCAATGGGGTTGTGGTAGATGTTTTATTTTAATATTCATACACTATATATTAATAGAATCAGCCATCTGGTCTTCCTCATCATTCACTTCGAAAAACTCATTTCTTTGCTGTCGCTAATTTTTAATCAAGTAATTGTATTATTTTTTTTACTAGTATAATGAAAGACAATTTGAATAATTTCAGACACCTGCAATTTCACGGGGTATCATTTCCATGAGGTTTTAATTCAGTGGAATTAACCGATCTTTTCTGAATGAGAAATTACAGACTTCTTGCCGGGATTAGCAAAGTACTTATCAATGAGCTAATAGAACAATGCCTGTGGCTGGTTTCTACCAGGTCGTGTAGTTCATCCTTTAATTATTTTTTATTATTTAACGATTTTTTAATGTCCAGAAATGACAAGGATCTGCAGGAAAAATTTGCCGGGTCTAGATAACCTCAATCAATGATGAACCAGTATCCTTTTTTTATTTCTATTTTAAAGACATTTTCTCATATCCAAGCAACTCAAAGGCAATCAGAATCTACATCGGCTAAAGTTAAAACTTACTTTAATTTATTCACTCAACTCTCCATCCATTCGTTAATTCTCATTAGGACGCATGTACAGTCTGTCTGATTCTTGATTTCTTTCTGGGGACGTACAAACCTACTGCAAACTGATAGAAAAATAGAACTTTAAAAAAAATGTATTTAAGGAAGTTTATGAATGGCGTTCCTTTCTTTTCGATGCATTTTGCGGTTCAATACTTTTCACCTTGCCACCTTTTAATCTAATCTCATTTTGTCTTTTCTTTTCTTTTTTTTTTCTTCTTCTCGTCTTGCCGTTTTCAATGCATTTTTCTCTCTCAGTCTGTTTTCATCTCTTTCTTTAACTAATTTTCTTCTTATTTCTCTCGTTTTTTTCTTCTTTTTTTTCTCTCTTTCTCGACTGTTACGTTTTTCCGGCCATCGATGATGTAAAATTCCCATAACACAAAGAGTGATTTCAAGTGCCAGCTCTAGTACTAGAAACATAATAGTAAGAAAAAGACTTGAGTGTTTCGTGATAAAAGCCACCAGGAAATAGCATGTTATGATCAATATTAATGCACAGTTTTATATTATTGTCGACTGGCAAAAGGATGACAGAGGATAGAGATAAATAATGTGGGTACTTGCTAAAGCTAAAGTCTGCTACTGATAATAAATGATTACTGTCTCACAGAAAAAGCATTAAGACCTGTTAGCTACAAGATAAAACCATTTCATAACTAGTGTTTGTCGGCAAAAAATGGAATATTAAAGTTTGAAAAGGGAAGAAGCTAGAAAAAAGGTCTTAATTAGAAAATGACTCGTGATGTACTCCATTTCAACCTTTATCTCTAGTATCTGAGGTCGATTTGTTAATGATAAAACGTTGTTTTCATATTGATATGAGATAAAATATTTAGTACGTACTTAATACACCCTTGTTGTATCACCCGTATTGCTAGAGTGGCTTATAGATACGCACGAAATAAATGGCAAGCAATAGATAAAATACACAATAACCATGATACCCTGCGCCACTATAGTTAGTCCACTAGTTAGTATTGGCTGCATGTTGGATAATGTCTCTAGAATAGGATGTATATTATCTCGGGTTTTCTTCAATTAATGAAAGCCACTCTAATGGGACATTTGAAATGACTTTTTTGATGTGACGTCATATTAGTCTCCACCAATTAAAACACAGAAGGGCTCAAACTTTAAATTGTAAACAATCTTGAATTGACTCAGTTGCTTTCCATATCACGGGAATTTCATGATCAAAAAGGATTTCTGACATAAGGTAAAGCACTTTGATATTCTCTCTTTGAAAAGTGGCACTTTTCAAGAGAAGGGAATATATCAGATAATTCTAGGAAAATCTTTGCAGGGTCTTCCGTTGTCAAAACTTTAAATTTGATAAGTAGTTTTTTGTAGATTCAAGTACATCATTGCCGCTTTAAAGTGTTGACTTACCAGAAATGCAGTCCTTTTTACTATTCTATTAATGTAAAACAACAACAAAGTTTCCCTTTTCCGGTGTTTTAGCCTGTGTTATGTTCACCAATCATTGCTGCATTTCATTCAGTCGATTTCATCCATAATTGGTCGTATTTTAGTACTCTTTATTCTCTTTGTGGGTGATGTTTTTACGCACAAACAAAAGTATAACTCGATGTTAAGGAGCGATAGATATGTACGGATACTACTTCTATTTTGACTTTGTATTTAACTAGATTCAACATGATTTTCTGAGTGATTTGCTAATTCAGATTAATGTCATATTCTGCTCTCATGTTCTGCTGTCGGTTTTCAATTCTTTCAACTTCCAGCCTCTACTTACATCAGTGAGAGACCTGTGTTGTCTGGATTCTTGTATTAGTGCCGTAAGGGATTCAGGGCGGTGTGAGTTTTTGGCCGACACATTTAAGTCTATATAAATATTTTATTAACATTTTATTATTTATTATTGTTAGCCTGTTTACACAGAAGGAATTTTAAAAACGGTTGCATGTGTTACTGTAACGGAAAGAAAATCCTTCGACCAAACATTCGCAAAATGTACCATGAAGAATATTGTGCGATGAATTCATTTGTGAGGTGAATGTAAATATTTGTACAACGAAAGGCTTTTACCATGCTCCATGAAATCTCGTTCAACTTACCACGGTAAGCAGAAAAAGAAAACTCTGGAGGTTTCATCGAGTTTTCGTACTATGATATCTTAATGGCCAATATTCAGGTTATATCAGAGGGTAATCGTTCATCGTTGACTGCTCCAGTATATATGTATTCTTAATATATTTTGATATTTTTGGAAATTGCATATATTTTATGATCGACTCAATTTTAAAAGAAAAACTGAAAAAACGGATAAAAAAGGATACTTTTTTGGGGTGGGGGGTGGGGGGGCGGTTCTATATTTGATGGTTGATGGACATACCTTTTGCGAGAAAGCTGGTTGTCACATTCAAAATTAAAATCACACTCTTTGTTTCCTTACTTTATCGAGTAGTTTTCGTATTTTAGTTCCCATTGGGTAGAAATCTCAACATAAACGAAAAAAGAACAATATTTTCTTGTGGTCTTTAGAAGAAACCAGAAGAGGGGATAATGTCAGCGATGACGCACGATGTGATCCTCTCGTGGTTGGTTTGGTCGAAGGTTCAGAAAAGATCGACAAATTAACAAGCGACTGCTAATATTAAACTGTCTGAACACACGCTGAACAGCACAGCAGAAACCTAAGAGAATATTGACATACAACAATTTATCACTTAATGCTTTTTTACAATTAGTTGTTAAATCATTGTATGATTGACAGTCGAGAGATGCCAAACTGAGGTGTCCTGGTTGAGGAGAAGCTGACCAATGGCGAACACCAGCCAAGGTTTGTGTTCAACACTATCTACCATTCCTTTGTATTCAGTCATTCATTCACTTACATCCAAGCATGCTCTATTCATTTATAATTGCATCGTAACTCTATCTGTTTATTTACAGCCAACATGTCATCATCGCCATTCACTGTGGATATCCAGATCGGTGTGTCTGTGTTTGCGTCCTTGCTGTTCTTGGTATCATTGATTGGTAACATCGTTGTGATTTACATTGTGTGTACAAGAGCGCACATGCGTAATTCAACCAATATTCTCATTGCTAATATGGCTATTGGAGATCTGCTTCTCACTATTGACATTCCTTATATCATCAAGTGGCTCTTTGTCTTTCACGCTTGGTTTGGGAGCAACTTTTTTGCGGATTTCTTATGCAAGTTTTTCCATTCTGTACAAATGGGGTCCATAGCTTGCTCAGTGTTCACTCTGGTAGCCATTAGTTTTGATCGTTGCTTTGCAATTACCTATCCACTTCGAAAGGTGCTTGTTGGTAAAGTTTTGAAGGCCACAATAGCTGGAATCTGGTTGTTTTCGCTTAGTTTTTGCACCCCCTTGATCATTGTCACGCAAGCGAGGGCAAGTCACGGTCATTCAATCTGTGCAGAATTCTGGGATGACTTTCCTTCCATCAATCACCGTTATTTTATAGTAGCCTTTTCTATTTGTACGTACATCATGCCACTAGTACTAATTGCTGTCGTCTATCTAATAACTGGAATTCGTCTTTGGCAAAGAAAACTACCTGGAAATGAAAATCTTCTTGCAAAAGAGAAAGTCCACGCCACGAGCAGGAAAGCCACTATAATGCTAGTAACTGTCGTCTTGGTATTTGCAATTTGCTGGCTTCCGTTACAAGTTCGAGAAGTTTTGAAATTCTACGAAGCCCCATTTGAAGTTCCCATTAAAGTTGACATCATTCTTCCGTGGATCGGTTTTTCTAATATTGCAATAAACCCTATCTTGTATATTATTTTTTCGGAAAATTATCGAAGCGAATTCCTAAGTATTCTGTGCTGCAAACAAATTAAGAAGCATAGTTTTTATAATGCGTCGCCGATGTCAACACCGATGATATCCCGAGCAATGACCGAACGTAGCCGGCTGAGCCCGAGTCCTGACGTGAACAGACATCTTCTTTCTCCGTCTAGTATTCAATTAAAACCGCTGAAAAACGGACCGTTGCCAGAATAAGTACATGTTGAAAAAAGAAAGTAAAAGATAGTTATAGTTAATCTGGTCATTAAAATGAACCAACAAAGATTATCGATCAATAAATGTCAGCTTGGCGTACCTGTGGGTTGATTTGGTTGCGTTTTTCTTGATTGCGTCTTTCTTCTACGACCCTCTCGGCTACAGTCGTTGCCAAAATACCTTGGAACATAGAATTATTTGTCTCCAGCCTAACATTTTGTCTCCTTTTAATTTTTCACAGTTCTCTCCCCTTAGCCCCCTTTCATCAATGTTGGGTCTTGTTTGGATGGTTATGTACTTCAGGGCCATTTAGGGGGCTAGGGGGATGAAATTGTCTTTGGGTGTTGCTAAAATAAGAAAATTCGCTTCAATGGCCCAAGCATTTTGGCAACAGTCTCGTAGCTTGCATGGTTGCAGTGTTTTGTTTTTATGTACGTTTACCGTCAAATAACCAACCTCGTTTCTAGGCCCTTCGTTCAGACCAAATGACACAAAAAGGGATAAGAGACTCGGGGCGATCGTTGTGTATTTTATGAGGCGGGAAAGTAAGACATTCATGATTCATAAGCATTGACGCCTTCATGACACAATAAAACAGATTAGTAGTAACATATGTTTCTAGAGTGCTATTTCAGGCTATAAATCGTAATACTGGCTTAGTCGGTGCAAAGCGGATTTGGTTGTTTTCCTTGTCGTAAATACATGTATTACTGTAAAATGTACGACTGCTTAGAGGGATTTAGATAGCTATATGACCTCAACTCGTGAAACAAGTTATAACAAGAAAAGAACACAAACATTTACTAGAAGTATGCAGTACATTGTGGTTCGCAGACATGAAATGTATCGAAACATATATGAAAGACTTTAGTTCTAAGGATATAGGATCCCTGTCAGGCACACATGCTCGTACAAACACCTAACTGAATAAGTCAAGATGAAATCATCGAAGACCGAAGGGAATTTTGGGTAATCGAAAATGTGAATACTATATTAGATTTGTAACTAAAACCTTTGGGGTAAAGTAATGAACCTAGAGTGGATCTCCATTCAAAGTTACTATTAATCTCAGAAAAACGAATTGATGACTCATAGATGTATGATGACCGGCCAATACATGTCATCGAATGGATCGTTAGGCGGACTGGCTTAAAGGACAACATGCGCCCAAGAACCTTTGCGATTGTTTCTTTTCTTCAAATTGATCTCTTGTTTGAAAAGAGGTGTTTTTTCATTGGTTCAAAATCAAAGATGTTTCGTCTTCAGTTCGTGTGTGAGAAAATCGGAAAATCGCGCAAAGGCTCTTGGGTACACCTTTAAACGTTTGACGAGAGTTTTCAAATCGAGCCATTGTKTTTGTTGTTTACTATCCTTGCAGTCCAACTTATTACTGTCTTTCATTTCAAACTATATAAAGAAAGATAATTCACCATCAAACACTACTAGGCTAATTTGAAATCTCGGGCTTCCTGTCGTACTCGTTAAAGGTTCACTACACGTATTACCCTAATCGTACATACATACACTCGTTTGACAACAAGCCACACATGTAATTTTTAATAAACAAAAAGAAAAAACAGGATCCTCGATCATATTAGCTTCTTAATTCACTGAGCGGGCAAATGAAGCATTGAAACACGACGAAAACAAATAAATACATTGTAAATAGAAGTAACTGAACAAAACCTTTGTAAGTCATCAACTAAAAAAGGCTGTCAACATGCGAATGATTCTTGTGCCTGTCATAGCTGATTGCAATCCTGTGTTGAATTTCAATGATCCTAGTTAATGACCTCTTCACATGGGCGTGGTCCAACTGTTATAAGGAAAATGTTGCAAAACAAGAATATTTTGGAATAAATACTATAGTAACAAGATATGTGAAGATCAWGAAAATATCTGCCCCATTTCCCTGCGGCTAGGGTTACAGCATGTTTCATTGACCTGATATTTGATAACTAACCGAGATGATTGCACTATACATATAACTTAAGGCCTGTAATAGAACTACAAAGCCATAGATGAAGTATTTTAATGATCTTCAATAGGGACTCATCATGATCGCACAGGTCAGTACTCGCTGGTTGGTAGCAATCAGTTTCTATACATTACAGCATTATCATTAAAACAAACGYTATCCTTCAAATATCTGTCAGACATGTCATTTGCTCATATCTGCCTAAAACAACCAATCAAAGGATGGGAAAATCGTGCGTTATATTTGATAAATTCTAAACATTTGCTATGGTATATGATATGGTTTACGGTCATCGAACAGCTTGATATGAAAAGAAAGATATTCCCTGCCGGGTTTGAACACTCTAAAGCGAAGTGCGTTGCTGAGTTGGTTTGTGATAATATCAGTCCTCAGATAGACGGATTGGTTAAAGAAATACCTATTACAACGTAAAGATTCCCTAACACTAAGATTACTAAGCYAATTTTGTTGTCAGGTACGTCTGTATTTTTGCTTATTTATACAGATCTCATTGTTGCAGCTGTGGAACTCAATGAAATTTTCGCCAATCYGTTTCTTAATCAACATTAATTGAAAAGCAAGTCCTCAAAGTTGCCCGCCGGCATTTCTTTCAGTGAAATTGGTCGTAACAGAAACTAACATTACTACATCAATATTGACTACGAACACTGTTTCTACTGATTAATGTTTAGCTAACGGCCACCCTATAATTTGTCTACAGTGTTTGGTATGTACGACTCCAAACATATAGAACAGCTTGAACACTCTCGTATCCAAGGGTCAAATAGAAACGCGTTTCGCCGCCTAATTTGTCTGTTTTTCACGGATGTCGCCATCTCTTCACTCAYGARATTATTGTAACACGAGGCTTCACATCTTGTGTCATGAAATCACCTGTACTTACTACTTTACGTTACGGACTGTATTTATTTTGATGAGCGGCATGTGTTGTAGATTTGTTTGGCGGAGGCAGTCACGACACTTTAAAAMCGTTTATATGGAGAGTCATAGATCTTTAATATCAAAACTCCTTTCTTGAAAATTAAATTTGCGCATTTTTTTCTCTCTCTTAGTTTTCAAGTCTTTACTGTCTGTTATTGCAATAGTTTTGTTTATATGTTGATATTCATTTTCCGCCTTGCTTGGTGATATTTTTTCCTTCCTCTGGTGCTCCCTGTTGTAATCCTTTGTCTTTTCCTCATCTTCGCGTTGTTTCTTATTTATTTCTCTTTTCTTCACTTTAAAACACATTGCATCTGACGTTCAGAGTTCATTCTTACAAGCATCAGGAACTGTGTCAATATAAACCAATTTKCTTTCTATTGAAAACGTTTAAAATAGTGTTTCTCCGTTTTTTCTCCGGTTTTTTTTTTCGCTCAGTTTCGTTATTTTTTTTTAATTCTGTTAGTATTCGTTCGGACGACATTTCCGAGTTGTATGCTAGTTCATTGATAAGATCTTCTAATATTTGAAGGGTTTTAARCATCTAAAAGGTATTCAAGTTATAGATATTTAAATGGCATCCTTGACCATCTAAAAGGATTTCGTTTAAGAGCGTGAAAATCTTCAAGGAGTTAATTTTCTCATATGAATTAAACAAAAAAGTCAAAAGAATGTTTTTAAAATTCCTTAAGATGGCTATAGGACASGGTTTTTAGCCATTTATCACTACATTGTATGCCGTCCCGAAATCGCGGTTCAGTCAAAATMAAAGGTTAGGGAGAGAAAAMTCCAAATGGTTTCCCTGGTAACTTACASTACTATTTATYGTTAGCTCTGCTACACCATTTAAAAGTTTTTGAATGGCTTCCCAACACTTGAAAGGTTTTCCAACACTTATTCTCAGTATTCAAGGGGCTTCAATGGTTATTTTCTACTGGCAGAGTTTTCATATTTAAAAGTTCTTTACGTTGTCATTCAAGTCATGAAAAACCTTCAAATGGGCCTATGCACCTGTTACTTCACTTCAGGCCGGACATTCAAAGTCTCAATGGTTTTTAATGATATCTYATTGGTTTAAAGCGCTTGAATGGTTTAATGTGAGGTTATAAAGGACTTGAAGAACATTTTCAGTAAAAACAACGATAGTCCTAATATCAAAGATCAACTGACATTCTATTTATTCATGTAGCTTAATCATTAATTCATTATGTTTCAGGCTTATGTTTACAAATAGATTGCTAAAACTACTCAATACCTTCACGTATGACAATACAAAAGCAGTTTTTAATCAGGGCTCGTATATCAGTTCCTGTAAAATTCTTTTTCTCATGATTAATAAGAATTTTTGCTTCTACTCATCAAAATATTTTCCAACTCTTAATCAGATATTGTTCGTTTTTTTCCGTTTGGAATAATATAATCACARCTGCGATCTGTATTTTTTCATCCTGTCTCTTTCTTTTAATGGAAGAAATAATTATGCAGATATTTCTTGCTTTTAACAAGAATATATATAATGCAAGATGGCTATCGTGTTAATAAAAAAGTGTCAGTGTATTCAATACAAACRAGCCGTATGTCACATTTGTCAGTAAATAGAATTAGACCTTTTAGAAGTAATAATACCTTAATGGGGGTATTGAATCATAATAYAATCATTACCTGATAAGTCATTTGATGAATTTGAATACATATTCAYTCATATACTGAATATAATATTTCGGTTAAATATATTTTGACTCAAGTCCAACYGAATGAACAAATTATTTTGTGCTTTATGAGCAAATACAAGGAAATATAATTCCACGTAAATAATAAAATTTATGGAWTGGTTATTAAAGGRACACATTTAACTGAAGGTAAGAAAGCACACCAGCCGGGCAARTCGTTTTCWGTAATATAGCTTCGTGTATTTTATTTACTTTTTCATATGGTYATTGAAGTCATGCTGCTTTCGGGATAAAATAAAACACTTGTTTTTGTCTTTTCATTATCCTTTCCTTGCTTCTGAATGACAAGTTGTGTGCTGTTGACAGTTGAGTATCTGACAAACTATGATTGTTGTCATCTGCCGACAAGTTACTCCTACTGACGACAGCCCAATCAACTTGCCAGAAAAAAAAAGTGAAAACGTATGATCAATAACACCTCTGGTTTTCAGACCGTGACGTAATGGCGGCCATGTTTGACT